AGAAGAAAAATTATAGAAGAGGTGTAAGGCCAGCTTGCAAAGAAAATAAGGCTCCAACCAAGAGCTACGGGTTGCTGGTGACCAACCCTACCGGGACAACAGGGTTATCATGACCAATTGCCAAAATCAGAGCGAAGAAAATGAAAATCTTATTCAAAATGTACTGCCTCAAAGCACGACGTCTAAGGCCTTTTATAAGGCATAAAAATTCAAAACTAAAGATGAAAATACCGATTGATTAGTAGGAGAGAAAGTCCCTATAATTCGGATGATTGCGTCGACGTCGGAAGCACCAGATGAACTCCAAAGTTTCCTCCGGCTGAGGAAGTTGTACCATTTGATCTTCTAGGTCATGAGGAGGTCGCTCGACATCTACTAGGCTATCAAAGATTTGAGTTCAAGGAGCTTTAGATCCTGTCTACACGGAGTTCCTACAAAAATAGTGGAGTCCGCGATGGGCTCTGGTCCTGCGCGATTAAGCATTCGAACGTTTTTCTTTTGCCTTCTATTCACAACATTGTTTTCCAATCAGATAAACCGTCTATGCATTTTTTCTGCGACATGCAAGCACCTTAGAACCACCAAAATGGGTGTTCTTTCTTCTATTTTTGTTCGTCTTTTGAACTCCATAACATTAGATTGTATACACTCTAAACCCAATGACTTCTGCAAGAAAACAGATTGATGATGGTGAAGGAGCTTCAAAACCCTACCTAACCAAGCATAGAAACTATGAACTCTGATCTAACACTAAAATCAAATGAATATCAAGTTAGGAGTAGGGAGACTATTCCAAAGTAACAAGTTACTTCGTGCAAATAGCCGCAATATTCACGCTTGGTACCGCGGACTACATTCTTTTCCAGGACTCTCCCCGCACTGCAACCTTCACAACAGCTCTAGCATGAGAAAATATCGCGGAAAACACATCGTCTGCGTAACGCGAATCTAAGGTAACTGTAACAAGAAACCCGCTATGTACATGGCCAACCAAACATAGCCTTCAATTACAACAGCACTTTACGTAATAAAATAAGAGTAGCTTCCGCATACAATATCCAGCGCGAGATCTACCGAACTCGTCAAAAATAATATTCAGATCGAAATGAGGTCCAGCAACGTCTAAGAATCCTGTCGAGACATGAGTCCAAAAACCAATTTCAAATGGTATTTTACATCATAGTACACCTTAGACTACCATTCACATCTATTCGAGGTCTCGATCGGTGAATCAACAAACTGCTCTGCATTTAAAGGCATCCCAGTATGAATTGCCGCAAGAAATAAATAAAGGAAATAAGATCACAAATGTTCAAAGTGTTTAGTGGCCGTTGACCACAGCACACTTCACCCTGATCTCGCCCTCGTTCCCAGTCAGCACGTCCATGGCACCCATCCGCACCATGGCGGCCGCGTACTTCTTCGCCCAGCCGTTGGGCTTCTCGGCGAACGACGCCACCTTGGCGGCCGTCAGGGAGCTGCCCCACAGCGTCTGGTCGGAGGTTCTCCTGAGAGTCAGAGTGTGCCTACGGAAGCGCTGCTCCGATCCTAATTCCTCCCACCAAAAAATGACGCGTTATCCGGTGGGCATTTCTCTCCGTTAGCAACGAGAGAGGAGACCACCTGCTATATTTTCCCCAACGCAGTCCACAAGTTCAACAGCCCTCACAGTTCTGTTCCATGGAAGAGAACGAGGAAACAAATTACGCCCAAAGGAGACTCCCAGACTCGAGCATCTAAAAGGGCACCTGCTGAAGCTAAAACTGCTCCTTAGGACATAGAACAAGGAGACCTTTTTCATGAAATTGTTTCCACTACTTATTTTATGGAACTACAAAGTTATGTTTACACTATTCAAGAAAACTGGATAACTGTAAAGGTGACTTGGTCATCCTTCATTCAGCAAGGCCCATGTGGGCCACGTCCTTTTTTACTGGGCTTTCACTTATGACTATTTTATGTTCAGAAATAGTCCAGCCCTTTTTTTGTAACCTGTATTTAAAGGTAGCTTGAGGAGAGAGAAACATAAGAGGAAATAAACAAATTTAGCGCATGAGAAACTCAATCTTCTCCAGCGGCTGCAACAAGAGTTATGGCATCATCTCCCTCCTCTTTTTGTTCTCTCTCTCCTCTACTAGTGGCTAGTATTATTACTTCATTAATTCTGACTCTACTGTATTCTATTCCTCAAACTTTGTCATTACTCTCTTCTCTGTTGATTTACTGGTTGTGAGATGTGTTTATCTTCTTTAGACCACAATAATCAAAGACCTACTTTATTATAACTCATTCTACATATTAAAAGACTTCTTGTACTCGTACTCTCAAGTTTCCATTATGTTGACAGACTAGTCCAACCCATTAAGATCATATTTCAAGCATTATTTCCTAACAGTAACTTATTTCTTTCTTATAAGGCCATACAAATGTGATATCTCAAAAAAAAAAATCTTGAAACCACAGGTAGTAATCACATCTGAAAACACAAAAATTAAAAGCGAAACATTATTTTAAATTCTTGAAATTTTTTTGACACAACCTTTGCCCTAACAGTAAGCTGAGTAGAATTCAAGGAGTCTAAGGTCGTCTATTTGACAAACTGTGGCACGGATTATCATAAATGAGATGTTTCTTCTAGCTATAAAAGCGTTCTGCGCCGTATTTCGCAGAGTTTATAGGGTCCGGAAAGCCGGAATGAAGAAGCGTCAGTGGCGGTTGACGATCCTACAGTGCCGCCTGATCTCGCCTTCAAGTCCGGTGAGCACGTCGATGGATCCCATGTGCACCATGGCGGCTGCGTACTTCTCCTGCCAGCGGTATGGATTATTCGTGTTAGCCGCGACCAATTCAGTCGTCTGGGAGCTGCTCCACAACGTCTGGTCGGAGGTCAACAAACCCCTCCCTTTCTTCAGGTTTCCGTAGTACTGGATATCCAGATGGTAAGGCGTCGCCAGATCCAGGGGAACAGTGGGGTCATCCTGGTTGTTGGCACGCGGACGCGGGCACCTGCTCTTCAGGAACGCCGCGAGGTCGGGATCCATGGAGGGATCCTGTTGGTGGGTGGAGTTGAACCCGTACAGCCTGCTGTTGAAGGACGAGCAGTGGGAGACGCCGATGGAATGGGCCCCGGAGAGGGTCACCATCTCGTCCACCGACAGCCCTTTTCTCGCGAAATTCTCTTTGAGCTGCTCAGCGTTGAAGCTGGGTGGAGGAATATTACCCTGGACCTCAGACTCCAAAGACACCCTCCCGTCTCGCCTACCTCCCGGAAGTTCGTAAAAGAAGCCGCCAGTGAAGTAAGCGGCGTCGCGAGCTGCGAAGGCCAGGACATCGGCGCAAGATACGGTGTTGGGGCAGTGGGATTCGAGAACAGCCTTGGCTTCGTCGATCACCTCGAAACCGCGCAGGCTCGGGTTGTTCGCCGGATGCTGTCTCTCCGCGGGTTTTCCGGGGGTAGAATCCAGGAGAACCGAACCATCACATCCCTGTTTAAAAACCCAGAACGGTCCTCATGAGATCTTCAGTCCGTAATCAGTTTACGGTGTTCTGTTTCTCTCTTCTGTTTAGTGGATGAAGAAGACGGTGGGGAGGGGATGTAGCTCACCCTGACGAAGCAGTCGTGGAAGTGCATCCTGATGACCCCGGAGGCTATCCCGGGGTTGTTGCCGACGGCCCGGCCGACGACATTCCTGACGATTGTCTCCGCGTCGGGGCACGTCGGCTGGTAGAATCCCACTTTGAGCGAATTTGCGGATGCGCTGGGAACTAGGAGACAGAGAGAGAGCACGAGTGCCAAGCAAACACGTATGGTCTCCATTTGGAATCCTCTGCCCGTGTGTGTCTCCCTCTTCTGCACTGGTATGCAAACTGTTCGATTGAGGAACAACAGGGAGAGAGAGGGGGGTGGGAGGGCGGCCGGCTGAGATGGAACTCCGAAGCTGAGTTGAATATCTCAGGGGAAGATGAGATGGCCCCCTCATTCGTGGTGACATATTTATACTTGTTCCTCCCTAGTGGGTGGACTTTTTCTTATCCATGTTTTTACGCTAGAGATGACAAAAGGAAGGACTCGTACTTCCTGACCTTTCCTAGTAATCCCAAAGACTGAGCCTTCCAATTTGACCGCGTTCCCACACCGCGTACGGTACTTGAGAATTTAAGGCTACGTAAATCAACCTTGTCTGTATAAAAAAATACGAAGAGCGAGTCAGATGGAGAAAGCGAGAGAGGTAGGTGGGGTTATGGCCATAAATGGGAGAGAGTATTCTATAGCGTAAACTAGTTTCAGGACAGCCTCTCGAACGATGTTGGTCATACGTATCAATAAATGTACCTATCGACAACAGGCGTAACTTAGAGTAGACGAAACACAAGAAGAGAAAGCTACGTGACCTATCCGAACGTGAACGCGCTTGGTAGCTGCTTTCTAGATCCTATTCCACGAGGGTTGACGTCAGCAAGGTGAAAGCAAAGAACCTGACAGAAGAGAACAGCAACACGTTCCCGTTGAGTGATTCATGTATTTTGGACAGATCTAAGAAATTGAGTGTAATGAAATTCGACTATATTCTGTAATTTTTCCGCCTTATAATATTTGAGATCCATATTGGCATGCAAGTCTGAAAACTAAAATTTATATAAAAAAATCCATGGAGAAAACCGTGATATGTTCTTATTTTATGCTAAATCAGATATTGTTGACTTTTTCATATCCGCATGTTCCATGAGACGGACTGAGTAGTACAAGTTACGTAAATTCCCCGACCTATCAAACTTATAAAAGATTAATTAGTCGAGATCAGAAAATACATGCTCTGTGGAAATGGTAAACGAAAATTCATCAATCTACCTATATTGTTGACTTTTTCATATCCGTACGTTCCATGAGACGGACTGAGTAGTACGGGTTACGTAAATTCCCCGACCTATCCAACTCATAAATGATTAATTAGTCGAGATCATAAAATACCTGCTCTGTGGAAATTGCAGACGATAATTCATCAATCTACCAATATTGTTGACTTTTTCATATCCACATGAGACGGACAGAGTAGTACGTGTAGCGGAAAATCCCCGCGGATATGCGCCTGGTGGGCCCTCTCTCTCTCTCTCTCTCTCTCTCTCTCTCTCTCTCTCTCTCTCTCTCTCTCTCTCTCTCTCTCTCTCTCTCTCTCTCTCTCTCTCTCTCTCTCTCTCTCTCTCTCTCTCTCTCTCTCTCTCTCTCTCTCTCTCTCTCTCTCTCTCTCTCTCTCTCTCTCTCTCTCTCGCTCTCTCCCTCTCTCTCTCTCTCTCTCTCTCTCTCTCTCTCTCTCTCTCTCTCTCTCTCTCTCTCTCTCTCTCTCTCTCTCTCTCTCTCGCTCTCTCCCTCTCTCTCTCTCTCTCTCTCTCTCTCTCTCTCTCTCTCTCTCTCTCTCTCTCTCTCTCTCTCTCTCTCTCTCTCTCTCTCGCTCGCTCTCTCTCTCTCTCTCTCTCTCTCTCTCTCTCTCTCTCTCTCTCTCGCTCTCTCTCTCTCTCTCTCTCTCTCTCTCGCTCTCCCTCTCTCTCTCTCTCTCTCTCTCTCTCTCTCTCTCTCTCTCTCTCTCTCTCTCTCTCTCTCTCTCGCTTCTCTCTCTCTCTCTCTCTCTCTCTCTCTCTCTCTCTCTCTCTCTCTCTCTCGCTTCTCTCTCTCGCTCTCTCCTTCTCTCTCTCTCGATCTTGTTTGGGGACGGAGAGCTGTTGCTGAGTAATCGTGTTCGGCATCTGTGCAATAAAACAGTGAATCAGTTGTGGTGGCCTACAACGTGAAATAGGAGAGAGCACGACACCCGCCATCCCAAGTGATAGAATAATATTGAAATGTGAAGAGGCAGCTGCCCCCATGAGCAACAACTCTGTCATCGTCTCCATCTACAACTTTCATAGTATTGAAATATTCTCCTCAACGGTCTGAGCAACAATGCTATGCAGATTACGCCGCCGTTGTCAACGGACACCGTTCATCTCGTTTTATCGACAGCATAAAAGAGAAAAAGTGGAATCAAAGCTACCGACGGTGAATAATAATAGTAGCCGCGCGACAAGAATAAGGGAGCCCTCGTTCTATACAGGAATCCTTGGCCAGATTTGAGAACGTCAGAGCGGTCGAACCAACAGACAGAAACCTTTACCTCATCTATGTCACCAGCGGAGTGTACTTTGATCTCAATCTGGTATTTGATTCATTCCGCTCTTCAAAACTTTCCATTGCAGACCTCGTCATTTAGGAATCCTACACTCCCCGTGAATCAAAAACGTCTAAAATAAGACGTGAATTCTGTGACAACAGGTCTGTGGATTCCACGAGAGATCAGTCTATACGGTTACGAGTTGTACGCATCCGTTCTCTACAAATCTTCGCTGACACGTGTGATGGCATTCACTGAGCAAGATGGGTGGGAATGAGAGATTAGATGGGCATGATCTTGGAGTAGTAATAAAAAAAAATCATGTAGTGTAGTTTTATAAACGTGTTGAATTTCTTTCGTAGAACTAAAAATACTATCAAGGCAACCCCGATACCCGACCCGGTCACTCGTCCAGTTGGGCCTTAGAATAAACTTCCGATATGAAGTAATTGCCTATTGGGTCTTATGTCCAGCCCGAATGCCAGAAGTCAGAATTATGTTGGCATTTTGCCTAAGCTAATGAAAACAAAGTGGCAATCGTGCAGTCAACGGATGATACCTCACGTTGCAAGAGGTGTTGTAAGTTAAGAAGCTGCCCAAGTCCCAACACTAGGACAGTAAGAAAACTAAAAACCATTCTTCAAAATGATAATTCGTTCAAATTTGTATTTGAATAGATGGTAACTCATTCGTTTGACTAGAATAGTAAGTCTACCCATGTCAACCTAGAGCTATGAATGTAGAAGAGATTAATTTTGTTCTCATCTATTTTTGGCCAACCTAGAGCCACAAATCTAAAACAGATTACTCATATACTAATTTAGTTTGTCTAACCTACTGTTGTAAATCTAAAAGAGAGTTTTGGTGCAAGATAGTTGAGCAAGCTTGATCTATCAAATATAAAAATATGCTTGCTGAAATCTTTAGTTGAAGTCACCAAGTATTAGTTGAACCTAACGACATGGTCCATAGAGAAAGGACTATATCAAGTTGACCAAGTTACCATAAATGATGTGTGTGACTAGAATTTTCAAAAGGATTAGAAAAGTTATAGTGATCACAAAATTACCAATTTAGGCCCCCCTCCCCTTGGTTTATCATGTTGCCTTAATATGGTCAACTCCATTCAAATCCTTTATGGTAATCAATTTTTTTCCTATATTTTAATGATCTCACCACCCGCAATTGCTTGAGCATCTAGTACTTACAAAAACTTAAAAATGGGGAGTGGGATGTTCACCTCCAAGTTGACAATGTAAACCACACTTTGACAAGATAGAAAGTGGTATCTTTTTCCAAGAATCCCAATGGTTGGATGGTGAAGTGTGCAGATGACATGGTGTAGATGGGCACTATCAACTTGCTAACTAAGGATGCAAGCGAGATTAGGGTCATGTGTCGTGTGCTCAACAGCCACTAACATTCTCTCTACCCTCATTGATTCTCCTAAGTCTCTCTCGCTCTTTCTTGGGTTTGTTGTCCATTTTGACCACGAGTTTAAAAATTCTTTATTGAAAAAATCCTAAAAGCATGTTGAACAGCTTAATCCTCCACATAAGATCTAAAGTGTTATTAGTACAGAAAATCAAACGAAGTCTTATTTTAGAAATTATGTCTCTCATATGATCATTGTAATATTGTTTGGAGTAACACGTAGCTTCATGTGTCATGTAATATTAAATTTGAACATATTTGTACAAAAATATATTTTTGAGATTTAACTTCTATTATGAAACCTAGATAATACGTTATTTGAATGCCATTCATGATTTGCAGAATGGTTTGTCTTGCAATCTCACATGGCATTCATCAAAATTGAAATGGGCAGTCAAATTTTAAAGCTTATTCAATTATCTAGTAACAACATAATTTCACCACTCTAAAAAAGTAGAATTTTTTTTTTTTCGGTTCTTTTACTTTACTTTTGTTCTTAACTATTTGTACAAAAAAAGTAGAACTTAACTATTTCGATTCCATTGTTTAAAATTGTCTTATGATCGTTTAAATGGTTACATAGTCATAGTTTTTCAATGAGTTAAGCCCATCAACAAGTATTCTGAATGGAATTAATTGTAATAATAAATGTGACATCTTTATTTTAACAAATTAAAGCCCTTATCACCAAGTATGCATCATGTTAGCATTAGAAATCGATTTGATGCACTTGTGAAGGCAGGGTTGCCTTTGTTCCAACCCTTCCGTTTGCTAACTGAAAAGACATCATAGGAAATTAATATAAGAGAGAACTATGTGACTTATCACCATAACGCCAATTCAATTGGATGTTGGCAGCATAATCTTGAGACTTGGAAAACGTAAGCACAACATAATAAACAGGATATAGTTTCATCTATATTTTGGGTCATATTTTTTACTTCAAATTATGATTTCCAATTTATTTTCATTTATATTTATGAATTTTTATTGTCCTATTTTATACTTCAAATTTTATTTCCAATTATGATTTTTATTTTCACTGGCGTTCCGACCAGACCCACGTGCAGGGCAGCCGTCATCTGCCAAGGGGACTCAGTTCAGAAGCTCGCTTCGCCATCGCTCTCTCCCCAGCCGCCCTGCATTTCCCGCCTGTCCTCTCTCTCTCTCTGTCCCTCCCTCCCTCCCTCCGTCCCTCTCTCCCTCTCTCCCTCCCTTCCTCCCTTCTGCCCTTCTGTTGACTCTCCCCTTCCCTGTGGCCCTCGCTCCCTCGTCGTGCACTGCTCCCGCTTACCGACCGTCGGATCCTCGCTCCCTCCGTCCCCACTTGGAGGGCAGCTGCGTCCCGAAGGCCTTCTCCAGGTGCGCTCACCTCTCCCCTTCCCATCAGCGCGCTTCCCCTAATCAGCACATCCGCAGCCAGCAACATTTGTCTGATAAAATTCAGAACTATATCTATTCTTCACGTCAATGAGTTTCCCACTCGTATATCCTCCCATTTTTTAATTTTTCTTTTTTCTCATCTTCTTCCCCCTTCCCCAGGGTATGTCGCATGCCTCCTCTTCCTGTGTTATGAAAACATTGTAAGCCTCCATTTCATTCAGTTCGCTCTCTGTGGATTCTAATGCGGATCACTTTTTCCATTTGTCCCAAGTTTTCATCAAGTATAAACTGGTTTCCAATATGATCAACATCCGGAGACGCATTGCAAGTGATGTTTTTCTTATGCTCAATGCAGAAATAAGCTCATGGATATCGAAAATTGTTGTCTCCCATGCTTTTTGAACACCATGAAGCGCTTCAAACCTTCCCTAATCCCTCAATCAACGAGGACCCGGGAAGAATCTGAACGTTCTCCTTCTTGATCTTTATAATACCGTCAGAATAAACCACGGGGGAGTTCTTCATGAGGTTTCTTAGGGAGCTGGATGATTAGATTGGCCTTAGTCTCCTCCCCCCCCCAACCCCCCTTTTCTCCCTTATGAAAGCCCTTTTGGGTTCTAGTCAGGCAGGTTTTTAATCTTGGGTACCAACTAATTCCCATCTTTAGTTTGGAAGCTTGCGGATCATGTGGATGCATCAATAAAGTGGTGGTAGATAATTATCTGCTTTATTACTCTGTGTAAATTTAGATTTTTTCGTATTTATTTCATGCCCTCATTCATATAATTCGTCTCGGGTAAGGCGCTTCTTGCTCTTTGACTTAGCTTCTGGGTCCAGCTGAGAGAAAATCTCCCATCCTCAGAGGGCCCCATACATAGAAGATGCGCTTGATCAACCAGTAATGCCCTGCAATTGTTCCAATGCTTGTTGCTGTGAGAGAGTGACCATCAAATCATATATAACTGGGAGGTTTTCTGATCCTAGAAACCGCGGGATAGTCGGGAAGGTGAGACCTTTGAAGGCTTCTTCAGCCCGGCCCGGAAGGGTTTGGTCCAGAAGAGTGGAGATGGAGAGTGGCCATGGCGAAGGCTCGCGGGGTTCCCTCATCGTTCTTGAAGGGCTGGACCGAAGCGGCAAGACGTCCCAGTCCAGCCGCCTGGTCTCGTTCTTGGAAGGGAGAGGTGTGCCCGTTGAAACATGGCATTTTCCGGATAGAAGGACGAGCATTGGGGGGATGATATCTTCATATCTTGCCAACAATGCTCAGCTGGATGATCGAGCAATTCATCTCCTGTTTAGTGCAAATAGATGGGAGAAGAGGTTTGCCTATGAAACTTATATGTGCTTATTTATTTATTTTTTCATTTTTAGACTATCATATCTGGCTCATAACTCTCTTTTTTTTTTTCTCATCTGTATTTTTATTGGAAAATTTAGCTGTTTATCTATAGAGTCAAGGTAACCAGTGGCTTCATGCTCTCAGAGAACTCATTTTAAGGTCGATAAAGAATGATGGTTGACCTTTCTTTACCCGTAACATTTTTTTTTAATTGGTGCTATGTTAGTCAATTCAACAAAAAATAGTTTCTTGAACCGTTTCCGTTTGCGGTGAGATTCTGGAAACCTACTAGTTAATCGAGGAAAAAGATAAAGTTCTTGTTTTCCAGGTCGTTGATGGAGGCTAAGCTGAAGAGCGGAACATCACTCATCGTCGACCGCTACTCCTACTCCGGTGTTGCATTCTCCGCTGCCAAGGGATTGGCCATTGAATGGTGCAAGGTCAGCGCCTCCTCTGACCTCCCAGCAAGCTTATAGACGGCTCATATTGTGGTTGACTGAGCGAGCCAGCTCCTCTCTCAGGCACCCGAGGAAGGATTGATAGCTCCAGACATGGTAGTCTACCTTGACATCCTACCCGAGGTACCCATCTATAACTTGCTGGTATTTTCCATTAAATTCAGCAGGAAACTTCATTTAGAGAGCAGCGGGCCCATCCAGGGTGAGAATTTTTTTTTAAAAAACTTGGTTTTTATTTTTACAGTTTATATTCTACGGTATCTGATCATCTATCGAGCATTGGGACAATCCCACGACAACGTAGAAGTTTTGAAATAATCCATGGCTATGGTTGTTTCAGAGAGCTGCAGAGAGGGGGGGCTACGGCAACGAGAGATATGAGCAGCTCGAGTTTCAGAGGAAGGTCTCGGACAACTACCACGACCTTAGTGACAGCACCTGGAAGGTACGGGTTTTCATTCATGAAGGTACATTCATCCATGGGGAATTATTCAGCTCTTCCTCGCTCCCTATGAGCTCCTTGAATTGCCGACAAGCCCTCGTCTTCTAGGTTCCCAGAAGCTAATCCACCTTAGCGCCTAATCCTGTTCATCAGCTGTGAGAGAACATTCTGACCCAGAAAGAGAGAGAGAGAGAGAGAGTTTTGGGGAGGCTGAAGCTATTCCCGGCATTTGATGGCATTGTCTGGCAGATTATTGACGCCTGCCTTCCAGAGGAGGATATACAGACCCAGCTGAGGAGCCTGGCATTGGAGTGCATCACCGGCTGCCGGAGTGGGAAACCGCTGTCCACTCTCTGGCTCCCCAAGTGAACCAGCACCGCAAGAGAAATCGATGAGAGGGGAGACCAGTGCAGGGAAGATGAACCCACCCACAAAGAAGCTCCAAGTTCGACGGATCAAAGTAGCCCATTTCATGATTTGCAGATGATGCCAGTGACGATGTGATGGTGTTTTGTTTACTCCTGTGCAGCTCTTGCTTGCCAAACTAGCCCTTGGAAAGAGAATAGATAGCATGTTTCCATTTTATATGAACATCTTGGGGCTCTTTCTTTCATCGCTAGAAGCAGCGCACATCGTCCACCAAGCTGGAGAAGACGGAGAGAGAGAGAAAAAGGGAGGGGAGAGGAGGGGAGATGAAGGGCACACAACTTGACAGGCTACAAGAAAACAAAACGCCTGATAATCTGACAGAGCAAGGCGACTTGTTGCCAAAAATAGACATCTGCAGGTGCCTCTGGTGGCGGCTGCCTGTTATCTTGTATGGCCACCGGAGGGGGCAAAGAGCTTCTGCCCGCCGTGCCGCCAGACTCCCCTCACAGGATTCCCCTCCGCACCTGAAGCAGGCGGCTCTTCTTCGGCCGGCTCAGGGATCACCGAGCCATCACCGCCGAGGCGCACCCTGTGGAACCTGGACATCTTCTTTGGCCGCTGCTTTGTGCTGCTCCCTGCAGCTGAATTCTGGTCGGCACTGGCACCAGGCGGCTGCTGATCCTCCCGGGCGGTAGCCACCAGCTTCCCCTTGCTATAAGTCCTGTACCCATCCTTGGACAGCACCTCCACCTCCTCGTCTGGCTTGTAGGTGGCCTGCAGCTTCCTGACCGTATCCAGGATCCCATCAGCCAAGGAATCCTTTGACCCACCGCCTGCCGCAGGTGGCGGCTCTGCAGATTTCCCCTTTCCCTTGGTCTGCGGCTTCCCAGCACTGGTGCCGCCGCCAGTCTCTCGGCGGCCCTTGGTCTGTAGCTTTGCGCTGTACGCGTCCAGGAGCTTGATCTGCTTCTGAGGGTCTGGGCATAGCCTGGCGAGCTCTGGAACAAGATGCAGGAGGCCAAACTGCTCCACATAAGAGAGGTACTCCCTGGCGTCGGTCAACCCCTGGCGATACTCAGAAGATATGTGCTTAAATACGGCAAATTTGTCTCCATCATTCCCCAGATCGACACGAATCCTCTCCACCAGGGTTTTATTGGCGGTGCGGATAGCTTCCTCATCTGGTATGGCAACCTGCCCGGTGGTCTGAAATCCATTGCTGGTTGAAGTATCCTTCACAACGAGGTCCGGGGCCGATGAGGAATGGCTTAACCTCCTTGTGCCGCTCAGACCCCATGAAGAACTGGCACTGTTGTTGGGCCAGGGAGGCTCGCTTCCGATTGTCTTCTTACCAGAAGAGCTCGTCGGGTCGGAGCTTGCAGCCGCCCGGGGCTGAGAAGAGCTCCTAGTGGAATTTGAAGGCCTGAATTCCTGGCTTGGCGTGGGCCACAGCTGGGGAGAGCTAACGGGCATGGGCGGCTGAAACTCAGGGTGCTCAGAGGGCCGAGCCTTGACGGGGCGGAGGGCCACCTTGCTCCGTTGGCGGAGATGGGCGGCAATGGTGCTCTTCCCCTGCTGGACAGGGGGCTTCTGCTGACCTGCTTCTAATGCACCAGGGAGGGGCGGAAAGGCTTCCCCTCCGAGTCGGGACGGCCCAGTGGATCCCTGAACAAGCGCCAGAGCATACCTTGAGGACGGCTCTGGCGGCTCCCGGTCAGAAAGAGGAGGGAAGGAGGATTCTTCTATAACCGGTGCATCCCTGGAACTCTGGCTGGCCTGTAAGGGGGGTCTTGATGGTGGTGGCGCTCGTTCTGGCGGTGCAACTGCTAGAGACTCGATCCGACTGGTGACAGCATCCACTCGAGACACCTGCTGGCGGTCAGGATCGCGGGCTCTGCTATCCATGGTATTTGCTGCTTCGAGGCTGGCTTGGATGGCCATGGCGAGCTGATTATCAGAAGATTGACTGTGAGGGCCATGGCCTCTCCCCCGTCTTTGCTCTTGTTCTGCCCTCCGATACCTGAAGCTGGTTGGGATCTGATGATCCGACCCCAAAACAAAGAAAATAATTAATCTCAAGATGATTTTGTCCAAGCATTCTCCGTCTACACTTTTAGAAATTGAATTGTTAAATTAAATGAGAGAGGAAACCTGAAGAGCAGCATTTCGTTTAGACCGAGACATGTTGCCTCCGTGTTCTACTGCATTGTGCCTCTGCCAAGTGGGGAACGATCATAAGTTGATTAATCTAAACCAACTTTTCTCACTTTAAGCATATAATATATTTGAGAACAGAAGTCACCTTCAGTTCGGAATCGGATGGGAAAACAATGAACTTTTTGGCAAGGCATGCCTCATTCTCACATAGGTGATGTTCTTGACGAAAATGAATCTGTAGAGTTAGATAGTGTATGCAATTAATCATCACAACTTGACCCAAGTACTGTAATAAACGGATCACATTAAATCAATAGAAAAAGAAAGAATTGGAACCGATCAATTTCTTCTCAAAAAAATTGCAAAGAAAAATGAAGCATAGATCATAGCTCAGCTTAGCCTGCTCAGGGGGGCTGCTTAAGAAAAAGGAAAGTGATGAAGATATCATCATAATCATGTAAGGAGGGATTCAGTCACCTCTAGATCATCATAGTTTCTGAAGTAATCATACTGCCCCGGATGCTGCCTGCAGCAAAAAGAATATAGCGCTTGTAGAGAATCATGTATTCAGCTATAAACAGCGATTTTGTAAAATTAGAGATATTTAACCACCTTTGGCATATGTGACATGTGTAATGTTCAGTGGACATGTGCGTATAGAGCTCATTATCCCCATAAAATGGGGTTCTACAAAATTCACACATGGGATGCCCCATGAATCCACCACGTTCACTCTCAGATCCATCAACCTCTGAGTCGCCACCACTGATGTGTCTATTGAGTTGTGCTTTTGTATAAAGCTTTTGCTCACATATAAATACCTGCTCCAAGATTGCACGGTCATTAATATTCCACGTAAAATATGTCGTAGGGCCAAGAAAATTTAGAACAAAAACAATTCCTACCCGAAAATGCAAAAATGTAAGACTGCCACAAGAGAAATGACAACAAGGGCATCACTGAAGATGAGTCAAACCCTAGTAAAAATGGAGTCAAAATCAGAACCTCGAACCAAAGTGCACATTATTAGGTTTATCCGTGCAACACGGCTACTACACTCAAAGATCTACTCCATTGCATTGGTTGCAAATGTAATTGTACATCTCTGAACTGGCACTTTGAATCCTTCACAGGTTTGTAGACAAATAATAATTCACCATTGTCGGCAAAATAATGATCAAGTTAAATTCAACTTACTTTTTCACAATAGTCCGATTTCGGCTATTACAAAAGTAAACTCGTAGTTATAAAGTTGGGCCCATTCAATTCATCAACAATTCATTTTAGTTTGATAGGACAAGAATGAACTCCAACTAGATTTCACAGCTGGTGGTAACTCTTGGAATATGCACATCCTATTTTTACTGTCTACCTGGAAAAACCCAAAAGTCTGCTTCAATCCGTGGGGATATGTCGAAATTAGTCCTCTATCAATCATTTCAAAAGCAAACGTATGATCATAAAGATAGGCATCCCTCTCATTCCTAAATTCTTTTCAGTTGATAGCGCAAAAAATGTTAAGCAACACTTGCCACTATGGAGTCTTTCTTATAAGCATGCTTCTGAAATAAATGTCACCAAGAGGCTGCCTGTCTTGAAGACCACTAATTATCTTCTTTCCTTTCTACATAATTTTTTTTACAAAGGTAAACATAGCGGAGGGTCACCCTATTACAGTTCAGGCAATAAGGTGAAGCAAGAGCTGAAACCTTGGCAAGAAGTAATTCGATATATAAAATATTACAAACATAAATTTAAAAATATTAAAATAAACAAGTACAAAATGCTCTTTGTACTATTTGCAGAAAAGAAGGCACAGTCCGCGGATCTCAAATATATATTCATCTCGAAGAGGAAAATACAAAGATACATTACTGATGGATACCCCCTTAACATTTGGGCGTGGAAGTCGAGGCAATATGTCACATTTCAACCAGCATTAGCAGGCTACCATATGAGTAAATGGACATATAATGTAGGCAACCAACTCCCTATCAAAGAAATGGAAGCCAGGACTAATTGAAAATTTCGAACCATTGGACGCTCACGTGAATCAGACTGAGAGATTCTTCATCAAAACAACAGTAAGAAGTATGAATAATATGCCAGAAATATAGCTGAAGCATTTTCCCTGAAGGCAAGATCATGGTAATCATTAATGGGAGAAACAAACCTTTCTTCCCTCTAAACATAGAGTGCACATGAATAGCTTGTGTCGATGATAGAGATGGCTCTTCAGCTGCTCAATGTTCCTGAAGCGGCTCCTTCTCTTCCCACCGCCCTCTGCATCCTCCCCTCTTCGGTCACAGATGCTGCAGGATAGCCTGCACATTGCCTTGATCATTCGATAGTGGTCCACATCATCAAAATACGCCTGTGTGTCCTCATGGTACCAGTAGTTTCCCACTTGGCCTTCTGACACCCCCACGGGGAACTGTGAGAAATCAGTAATTACCCTAGTATAATCTCCCAATGCCTGCACAGATCATCATATCCCCATGTAAATAGTCACGTAAAATAGAAATTAAAAAAGAAAACACGGGTCTGAACTCTTCTATATGCCTTCCCGATCTCATCAAAACCTCAAAGAATAATAGAAACATAGAAAACTACTAAAATAAACACCGGAATCTACCTACTAATCAATCGGTGACACTATAACAGTAAAAACCTAGCAAATTCGGTCCTGAATTCAAGCGGTGGTGAGAGATACCTTCGTGATAAACACGGTGGGAGACTCGATCTTGCAGAGGCAGCAGCGGCGATCGTCGAGGACGAAGCGCATGCGTACGACACACGTGGAGCAGACCTCCCGGTGACCGCAGGACCCGTAACCCACCCACTCGAGGCTTTCGGCGCAGACGACGCAGGTATCGTCCATCGTGGATCGGATTGGGGCAACAGAGGGCGAGTTCCGGCCGGATCGGGAGAGAAGACGCCCCGCAGTGGGTCAGCGGGAGGGGAAGCGGGGGAAGAAAGGGAGAGAGAAATCGCTACGGTGGCGGCGGGGAAAGACCTTAAAATAGAGTCTCCCAACCGACCAGCTGAGAACCCAGGGGGGGAATGGAACCTTTTTATATAGTTTTACACATAAACCCTGAAAAACTTCAAATCTTACTGCCAGCCACTTCCGTAACGCCTACCTTCATAAATTACAAATTTAAAATGTATTTATGAACTCTGTTGTTTGTAGGCCTGTAAGCCCGAAGCATGGCCCGGCCCGGCCCGAATCATTAACGAAGCTACCTCTCTCTCTCTCTCTCTCTCTCTCTCTCTCTCTCTCTCTCTCTCTCTCTCTCTCTCTCCTCTCTCCCTAATCCCCTTCTGCCTCATCTGCCTACCACTCATCAAACAAAGTCTTGAAGAGATGATACTTGTAAGCCGCGGGCCAAGTATCCTCCTCATGCCCAATCAGCCTACTCAAGAGAGGTTCCAAGCCAAAAGGGGGAATGTCACTCTTCACAATGGGAGATATACATTGTGAAAAATATAGGCCTCTGACATCTTACGCCTTATACTCCACACCACAGATGCCATGCACGCTGCAAATCCCATGCATGCTGTGGACAATGTAGATGCTGCGGAGGCTGCACATTCGCAGATGCCGCGCGAGTCGTGAACGCCGCAGATGCTGCACACTCATGCCGCCGCTGTGGTTCCACCCCCAGAACCAGATGTCTTCAGGCCGGGGTCGTCACAGATACCCATTCTAGGAATGGACTCAACCCAAGGAGGTCGTCCACACAAGCAAACACTAACCAAAGTCAACAGACTGAGGATCAATTCAGACTTTTTATAGCCCACAGCATATACATCAAATCAAGGGCGGTGAGTAGTAAAACAGGCCCTTGAGACTTCATATGTACACTACCACACATCCCCCATAGCCAACCTTCCAGACAGCCCCCTTCTTCTTCAAGATCCGTCACTGCTGCTGCCATCACCCAAAGGTCTTCTCGCTGCTGTAACACATGTACAAGAAGCCGTCACCATCCCGGCAGGACTCATAGACGGAGTCCATTTGGCTCGCTGCATGACAGGCAGCCCCGGTGAGATAGGCACTGACAGACCCTGCTGAAGATGGATTAGCGCAAGTACTCACAAGTTGGGGGGAGGGTATCCTTGATGAAGACAAAGAGGGCCTTGCCGGGAGGGAGGTGGAGCCTGCTGCTGAGGATGCGGATGAACTGCCCAACAGTCATCTCCCGGGGAACCAGGTACCTGGGAACAAGATAAGGGAAAGCGATTTGTAAGGTGATGAGCTGAAAGATTGACTGCCGTGTTTTACTTTGGGATTAACCATGAGGCAACTGGTGATGACCGCCTAAAGTCGTGGGATCGACATCAAATGCGTATGACCAAGGCCTAAAATTTTGTGGGCATAAAGTATGTATGATCAAAGCATTAAAAGGCAAGTAGGCAAGTGATAGCGACTTATTATGTAACAGAGAGGGAGTGATGAGACCTGACAGCAAGTTTTTTTTAGCACATAGGAAACTCTAGTGAGAAGAGAATTATTTTCATCCGAAAGAAAGGGAAAATTATCTTTTCCAAGGATGAGTAAGAAGGAACATCACTTTTTCTTCTCCAACTCAGGGAGGTCAGTCCTTGAAAATCTTTCCACAACAACCTGCAAATTGATATATTTGGTTAGCACAGCAAAAAGGTATGCAGTTATCAGTTAAGACGAAATAGATTTTGAAATATTTATATTGTTTCAAGGATCATCATCAACTAGAACCTGTGCTTCTGTGCGACAATGAACCAAACATATGTTGCAATTACATGCAAATATTTGAAGATAGGATTACAGGTATTCAACCGAATAAGACACCCTCTGTTGTTCTAGGTCTTGTAAGATTGTAATCCATCGTCTGGTCATAAATGGGAGTCAACATCCATCACACTCTGAAATCCCTATGATTTTCATTGGGTTGGTTCTTTCCCCTCTTGACCCTAAATCTAATTTAAAAAATAATCGATACAAGAAAAATGGTAGATATGATGGAACCAAAATAATAGAATACAATAAAGAAAAAAGAATAAGCCTAAAACTATATAAGTGGCAGATAAAGTTTTTGAAATAGGGCCCCCTTATCCAGAAGACCACCCAAATAATTGGCTTCCTTTCATGTTTGGAAATTTGATCTAAACCAAAACCATCAAGTCCCTATCAATGGTTTGATTCTTAGATTATAGCAACGTCCGACTCCGAATTGCCAAGGAAAGCAAACATTCAACTAAGTAATTACAAACGACTTTAAACGACTAGAAAGAAGTCGCAAGCATTTCATGGATAAAATGACAAATCAACCTTCTCTTTCAGTTTTCAATGAGGCAGAGAAGAAGGCTGATAAGGTGCTATGTATCTGATATTCTTTAGATTAAAAAGAGATTGAACTAACTATATGTTTATCAGCGTAATATTAATACTGAGGTGTTGGACACACATTCAAGGTTTGAGGGGTAGGTCTACCCCAAGAGCCAAAGAATGTATATCCCCTCGTTTAAAAAAGCTGAGACTTTCTACAGTTCGAATTATCTGAAACAGAGTTTTCAATGGAATAAAAGGGGGCTTCCGGAACCTTTGAGTTGTAATTTTTCCATTTTACGAAAGAAAAGATGTCTCTACTTTTCTTTCTTCAATTTCTTCTATGCCTTGGCAGTCATGAGTCTGAGTTCCTCTCCGATTGGGATAAAATACTTTCCTTCTCTAGGCCAAGAAAATAGGAAAATTAAATTCAATAAAACACCCGAAATCTTATTATTTATCCCTGTCATGCACCCTAAAATCGAAGTCCAATAAGAGACCAATAAACAGTCGACAGATTCTGATCCCTAAGGTAAGGCTTCTGAGATGAACAGGCCTTCTACGCACCCGAACACATCGGATCCCATAAAATCCCACGAAAAGTCAGCCCTCCCACCAACCGATCAAACACCTAGCAGGATACCTACTGAGAAAAAGAAAAGGAATATGAAAATTGAAGACAGATATTATGGCAACAGCGCTCCTCACCGGGACCCGATTTGGATATTTGGAGATGATGTCCTTCGACTCCTGCAGTCTCTCCTCTGAAAAAATCCATCAAACCAAGAAATCAGAGTAGAGCAGAATGGGCGACGGTCGACGAAAGGGGGGCTGGGGGGTGAGACAACGGGCGAACCAAATGTGAACTCGTCCTTGAAGGGCCTGGTCTTCCTCATGGCGCCAGTGAAGAACACCGGATTGGGGAGAGATCGAGAGCCAGAGAAGCGGATTGAGCTCCCGACGCAGCTCCGCCAGAAGCTTCCTTCCCGTTCTCGCCTTCCTCCCTCACTACGTTTCCTTCATAATTTAAAAAAATAAATAAACACCACTAAATATGAGATAATACGGAAATCCAATGGACCAAGCTACCTCAACCCGGCCCAGCCCAAAATAAATGTGGGCATGCTCCAAACGACTTCCAGGCCCCTCGCAAAGGCCCATTAAATGTCCATTAGGCAAACACACCCACTGCTGAAGGCCCAACCCCCTCCTTCTCTCCTTGCCGGCCTGCCCAAGACATAATAGGCCCGAAATTTGAGTGGGCCCCATTTATTAATCTACTAAGACCTTCCTAGCTTAAGGGATCATAGATCGTTGATATGAGACCAGGCAGGCATACATACAAAGCACATGATAATGGTGCGACATGACATACTTAGAAGGCTACATACATTAATGCAGAGTGATAGTACTTGGCATGGTGGTGACGTGCACATGTGGAGGTGTGTGAGACATACAAGCTAAGATAGAGGCAAAACATCATGGTTGGCATGACAATAGGCAGATCGAGGCACAACGTAGACCAAAGAAACTAGCCAAATTGAGTAATAGGAATGAGGAGTACTCTGCATCCATAATCCCCTCATAAAAGAATTACAATAATGGGCTACAATGTAATTATCTATCAACCTAGTAATATTGCCCATAGGCCCACATATCAAAAGGATAGGGTAGTGTCTCTTATGAGACAACCTCTCCTCCCCTAGATAAAGAGAACCTTATTTTGGGGGGGAGTATGTATGATGGAGGGGAGTGCTCCCTCATAAATAATGAACATATGATACCTCTTGGGGATAGACCATCCTTGACAAGCTCTTGTATACTTGTTTTATAAGTGGAAGACTTCCTCTGAGCAAGTAAGAGGTTTACATAGTGTGAAGAGAGGTTGTTTAGGCTTTGGTGAATGCATCTGAGGCTGAGATGTAAGCACTCTAACCCCTGTGACAATTGATGTGTGAGCTCAAAAGATTTCATGAATGATTAGAGAGTAGAATCCATACTCAAACAATCACCTTGTAGAAGGAGCAAGGGATCATGTTCCCCACCTTGTTTGAGGCTATGGAGGAGTAGATGATCATCCTCTCTAATTCATTGTTGCCATTGATGACTGTTTTAGAGTTAATGGAGGGTCTTGCAATGGAGACACGCTTATGTGGATCATGGGTCAAGGAGATGTTGGAGTTCCTTGTTGCCAACAATTCTTTGTTGTAGCATCTATAAATAAGTGCCTTGCTGATGAGCAGTATGACCCATCAGAGGATCTTTGATCCTACTTCATTCAACCTAGATTGGAACAGACAAGAAAGTGAAGATTTTCTATGAGATTTGTACAATTTTCATGTGATCCATATCTCAAGGAAAAGGTCAAGTTGTCTAACATGTATGTCTCTAACAACACCAAGTTGTGGTGGCATATGCAATCAAAAGAGTAGGATTGACTCCCCATCAATGTGTGAGATGACTTTGTTTAACAATTGATGGAGCAATTCCTACTTACGAATAGTGCTTAGGTGACAAGGGATGCCATCTAGCGAGTGAAGCACATGGGATCAATGAAGAAATATGTGAAATAATTCATCTTACTATTGCTCAACGTCAAGAAAATGTTTGCCATGATAGTTTCTATAATTTTTTGATAAGACGGAATATTAGGTATAAGAAGAAATATGATGGCAAAGGCCCTATGATGTGCAATCAATCACAATTATAGTGGAGGCATAGGTGGATTATTAGAACCTTGATGTTAGGGAATCTGGTCCATGCATTAGGCATTATGACTATTTCTGAGAAAGTTGTTTATACATTGGTGATCACAAGGCAAGCTTAGATGGAGGCCACAAAAGTGGCCATAGGAAAGATTGAGATCAAGGGTAAGGAGGGCTTATGTCCAAAGCAACAACACGAGCAGAAAGTTTCTTCATGGGTGGATATTTTTTTCATCAAAAAACACAATGGCCAAAATATTGTTGAACTCATATTAAGCACCACGATGATTCAAGAGGCACCAACATAAGCTATGCCCATATTTAATTATCTTCAATAATTAAGGGCCCTATAATGACAATCAGATCTAAATATGACAAATTGAGAAACTATCAAAATTAGACTTAGTTCAAATCAAAAGAAAATGTGAGAGTTGTGTTAAAGGAAAACATACTAGAGAATAGTTTAAATCAAAAGAATTTGACTCTTCTACACAACCTTTAGCACTAATTCATTTAGCTTTATTTGTTCCAAGTAAAATTACTACCTGATGAGGAAAATTCTATTGAATTGTTGTTGATGATGACTTTTTTAGATTTACTTGGGTGTTTTCTTATTTCACAAAAATGAAGTGTTTGATTTTTTGTGATATTTTTAATGAGAATACGAATTGAACTAGGTACGCCAATTAAGAACTAGAAGTGATAATAGGGGAGAATTCAAAAATCTTATATTTGTAATATTTTTTAATGAATTAGAATCACTTATTCATTTTCCACCCCCATGATTTAACAAAACATAGTCATAGAAAGGACAAATAGAACACTACTTGACTTATTTAGTAACACAATTGTCAAAGATAATTTCTTCAAGTATTTCTAGCTTTTATATCCTCTTCAAGCATGCACAACCAGGATCTCCCACCCACCCCTTAGAAGACCAAGAGGTGGGTGTGAGGGAGGGAGAGAGAGAGAGAGAGAAAAAAAAAATTAACTAGTTATTAGGTTGGTTGTGGAAGAGAGAGAGAGAGAGAGTGGATGCAATAGTTAAAATTCAGCCATTGCCTAGGATGTAGAAAATTCCTGAAAAATAGAAAATATTCATAAAAAACCTTTAAAATTCATTTAAACCCAAAATAAATCTTAGATAATTCAAAAAAATCCTAAAACTCAGGGAAAATACATTTAACATAATCGTTCCTTTTGAAAATTTTAAATCATAATTTAGACATGAAATGACATTTATTTATAATTAATATTCAAGTGGAGCATATAAATAAATAAATATACTTGCTATAAAGAATATACAAAAATCATAAAATTAAGCATGTATTTAGAATATTGATCACAAGAATTTAATTATTTTATGAATAATTAATCTCATATTGTATGAAATTAAGCACAAATCGTCTAAATAATACTCTAACTTTTAGAATTTGCATGTTATCAATCATTAACACCAAATATAAAATCATTGACATATATTTGAAAAATCAATATATATTTTTTCTCATAATTAATAGTGTGGTATTTTCTCTCTGAAAAATATTTTTTTAATCAAAATGAACTCAATTTATCATTACCTCACTCATGAGGCTTGTTTTAATTTATAATGTTTTTCTTAATTTGAAAACAAGTAATCTCATTGGACTATGTCATATTAAGTATTGATTTTCTCCTCAATATATAAGTGGAAATATTTTTCCAATTATGAGATTTTTTTCCTTATAAGAAGACTGAAATCATGCTCTATGATAGAAATAATGTATATTTTGTTAGAACTATAAATGATGTTTGTTCTTCAACTCAAAGATGAACTAAGAAATGGTTAGGAGATGTTCCTCATAACTTTATAGAAGTAGGAAAAAAGACATGCATGTGTCAAATGTAGGACCAACCATCACTATGATCAACATATAAGTGACAAATATCAAATAGACAATAGATGCATGCATGGCACACATATATGATAAGCGAACCAATGGATGGCAAGTTCCTAAAATAACATATAGTGGTATAAGTTGACTCATTGCAACTTCTAGTGAGAGTTTAAAGATGTGATGCATGAATCTCTTTCAGCATGATTGTCACTCCAAAGAGAGGTGGATCACAATATCAAATTTCTACTTGATGTACAGCCTTTTATCCATGCATCGTATCAAATCTGATTAATGTATCTTGAGAAACTCTACTGATAATTAAAGAATCTATTATAGGTGTGGTATATCTATTTATCTCAAGCACCATACAACCTACTTGTCATTTTTTAGAACAAGAACGACTACTCCCTCTAATTGTGAATCAAATATTGAATACCCAACTCAAAGAATTTCTTCAATCAATGGAGTGACATGAGGTACTCTTTAAGAATAGACTAAAAAAATAAATATCACTAAGTAAAGATCAAGGAGGGAGACAATTCAACATATTAATTCGGGCTCACTAGCACAACAACAACTTTTTACATGTTAATAATCATTATGTTTTATGACTACATCAATTGTTTTGTTATGTATTTTGATGAAATTTTGGTCTCTAGTAAGACTTTAAAAGAATAATTAAGATATTTTCAAAAGTTGCTCATCAAGCTAATCATACATCAACTATTCTTCGACCTTGCAAAGTATGACTTTGGGCTAAATAAGGAAGCCTTCTTTGACCACATTGTGAGAAGCGATGCCTTATCGATGGACACAGTCAAATATCCATGACATCAATGAGTGGCTTGTGTCCAAAAAGGTCTCAAAACTACAATTCTTCTTTGGGCTAGTAAACTACTATTATAAATTTGTTCAAGGAGACTCATAGCTAATAATACCTTTAACAAATCATCTGAAAAAGGACATTAGAGAAAAGAATGCTAATGACTTTTGTGAAGTTTAACAACATTGGGTTGATTCCAAGATTGTCTAAATTCAATCAACTTGTAATGATATACACATATAGATCATACTTTATAATTTGGTGGAGTCTTAATACAAGAAGGATACTTGTGGCTTACAAGAGTCTTAAGTTCAACAACATGAAATAATGGTACTTTGAATATAAGATAATCATCCACTATTTGAGAGTATAACAACGTTATCTCTTTTGATACTAATTCACAATCTATTGAAAATATAGCCACAAGACTTATTAATAAAATATTTTTTTCTTCAAATTACAAATCAAGGAAAATCAATATGGGGAGATATGCTCTTAGTTGAACAATTTGAGGTGAATCTTGCAATGGTCATGGCAATCACTAGATCTATCTTGGAAGAGATCCATACATCAATTACTCCTAACTTAGGAGCAAAATATCTATTTCAGCAAACTACAAAAGACATGACAAATTGCTTATGGTAAAAAATCCAGTCCTTTTTACATGTGAGCATAGGCTTATTCACCATGACAAATGGGCTATAATGATATCTACGACAAGAGGTATATGATGTTTTATTTATAAGACATCTTAAATATGAGTAAACCATCATGTGTTGTTTAATATTTATCATTGGTCAAACATGAACAAAGATACAGATATTCAACTTACTTGAGGTGAAGGATCATAATGTGTTCTTCATCGTTGTAAATATTTTTTCTAAATATAGTGTTCATCTAACACAAACTAGCAGCTCAATTAAAGAGGTGACATGCCTCTTCATAACAAATGTGGTTGAGGCTATAAATTAAAGAGGTGACATGCCTCTTCATAAAGAGGGTATTTCATGGGATATTTGTCAACAACCAAGATGTAAGACTTACTAGCCAACTTTTTTTTAGTCTTCAAATAGATGGGTACCTAGTTGAAATTCTCTACGAGCTTTAACCCACAAAAAAATGGATAAACTAAGAGGATCAAAAATACACTCCATAAGTATTTGCAGAATTATATCACTATAAATTAAAAAAAATGATTTACTACATAAACATCACCTAATTTTCATACAATAATGACAAGAGTTCAACAACATGACAATCATTGTTCGAGCTAGTAATTAGATAACAATTGCTAACCCCATTATTATTAATGAAGTAGATTAAGTTGATATATTGTCAAGTTGTGTAATAGTTTGTATGAGCAGAAAAAAATGTAGAAAAAGCATTTGAGACATTAGCATGTACATCATATCAAATAAATAAGTTCACAAATTATCATAGATGTGTAGTAGAGTTCAATAATGATGACCATATTTTGTTATCACTCAATGTTGGAATATATAAGAACGTGATAATGATGAAGTACAACATGAGAACATGATATTATTCCATGATAGTTTGAGAACAACATTAATAAGTATTTCAATGAAAACCCACCAAAAAGGACATGAGATTCATCATGCTGGGAGGATTGACCCCCTTAACTTAGTAATTCTTAGATTTAAGAGTGAATCTATACTACCAGCATGATACCAGTATGGATACATGTAGCACATCATACATAGAGGTTGTGATGAGACTATTAAATAACTAAATAATCCCACTTGTAGGCCCACCTATCAAAAGTAGGATGGCACCTCATATAACCACAACCTTTTCTATCTCAAATAGGGAGAGCCTTATTTTCAATGTAGGAGAGTGCATGATGTTAAGATAAAATGAAGAAAACACTGAAGAAGTTCTCTCATATAAATAATGAACAAGTTGGACCTCTTGAGAACAAGCTATCATCCACAAGCTTTTGTATTCTCACTTGAGAAGTGGTATACCTTGAGCAAGTAAGAATCTTCTATAGTGTGAAGAGACCCTGCAGTTGAGGAGGAATGAAGTTCCCTTACGTGGCCCCTTGAAAATTCTCTAAAATGGGGCTGATATTTTTAGGAACCAATTTTTGGGCACATCATCATAAAAGGAAATAATCCAATTATCCTTGGATTTTATATCAAAAAATTGTCCCAAAAAGTATCATTATTATATGAATTTTTTTTATTAAAAATTTAACTATTACATTCTAATTTTGAAAACTAGTTTTACACCCATGAATCCACTCACTATATTTATCATATATATGCCCCTAGCATGTAGGGGGAAAATGATACGGTAGATGGAGACGCACTAAGCAAGAGACGGTAAAAGAGAGAGAGAGAGAGAGAGAGAGAGAGAGTACACATTTTTCCAAGTCATGGCTTTGTATGAATCCAACCTACAAAAGTCCATTTCCCCACATGGTGGGAGCCCCCGCCTACAAAGCCTGGTCTCGCTAACATCCCTAGATATTCCTCTTCAGAATCAGCCCTGGACAATGCTAAATTGACTAAGTGACCAATAATGCACCATCAACTAACAGACGTAGGGTCCTCTCAATCAGCCGGGCCTAGCTTCAACCTCAGCCCAAACCCATATACAGAATATATACAAAATATAGTGGTGACCCTATGATTGTACTCTACTTTCTTTTAACAAGGAAAGAAAATATGCTTAACTGGGCTGGTCTGGGCTCCAAAGAGGTCAGGTCCAAAAGCCCGGTCACTTGCCACATTTCAGCTCTGAGCAAGGCCACATGGCCAACCCACGCTGGGAATAGTCAATGGTGTGGTAGAGAGGTTGTGTTTCAACTTATGAGCAAGTGAATTCCCCCAAGTTGCCCATGGCACCAGCCTCTTCTCACTCAAGAGTCTTCACGCAGACAGAGAAAGAAGATCTGCCATTCAACACTCTCAACACCAAACCACGGGGGGGGGGAGAGAGAGAGAGAGAGAGAGAGAGAGAGAGAGAGAGAGAGAAAGAGAGAAGCAAGATCCTAGGAAATAGTCATATAATTAAACATTGATAAGGAAGGAAAGGCTTACCAACACCATCCTTGGATCAACAGCCGATGTGGCCCATTCTCCTCCCTGATCTGGGCATCATCACTTTTTAAATCCTGAAAAATAAAATCCTTCATTGCAGTAATTTCCATGGTGATCAAGGTTTTCCAGGATCTCCTGATTTATTTATTTATTTGGCAGAGGATTATTAAAAAATGCGACCATATAATCAGGTGAATTTAGTCTCTTCCCTTGATCAATACTATTAGTATTTACAGGCCCTTGCCCAAGCATCTACATGTATCACTAAAAGAGGACGAGAAAACCGAGATCAATCCTTCTGCAGAGAATCGAATGATGAGAAACCCTAAAGTTGCGTCTCCTTCAATTGATTTTGCCTCCAGGGTGGGTCACCTGACCCCGGGAGCAGTGGACGGAATTGGCTGGATGGCGGCAAGAGGATTCACTTGGACGGAGAATGCCAACTGCCATGCATCAGCAAGAGCTCTTTTAATGGCTACAACTTTGCTGCCAGCAAATCTGCAAAAGTAGACAAAAATAGCAATGGCCGGCATTGAGATTCGGCAGAAAGGAGAAGATCAAGGACTGATACTTGCAGCTTATCTCTCTCTTCAATGATGGGAAAGCACCTTCGAAAGGAGTTGCTATCACAGTTTATGTGAGATTAGCTCCATTGTTGCAAGTTATATTTTCTCATTAGAATAAATCAAGCCCAGAGAGTAGACTTTATGATCAAGGGAGTCAAGGGCAAGGACGTCACCTTCGTAAGATAGCTTGTTTCCTTCGGAAGATATGGAGGATGACAAGGACCAGAGAACTCCAGAGTAAAACCTTCCCTTGAGGAATGATCAAGGTCGTGTTTCCGCACTTCACACGGATGGTCCTAAACCACCAAAGGCTTCCAGCAATCCGATTGAATAGAGAGGAGAGAGAAGATCCCAAAGGGACTGCACTCGAAGCGTCACGATTAGGGTTCTTCAGAGTGTTGATGTTTGTTGAGAAACTCTCTGCTCCTCGCAGAGCTTTGGTGGTAGTAGCAGAGAGGGTGCTGGTTTTATCAGTTAGTCGATGCATCTCGGTGGCACCGGGGGAACTAGACCTCTTAGAGGAAGATAAAGATTGTAATTTCCTTAATATTTCCTGCAAAAGATATCCCAATTGTTAAACGGCCAGCATGAGAATTTTTTGCTTCAAAGAATTTTTTTCAAGCTGAAATGATGGGAAGCACATAGAAAAGGAAATGAAGCAGGGGAGATAATTCTTCAATAGAAATCTTACTAGAACTAGGAATCCACTATCATTCCAGGCGAACTTCTCTTTTTCCTTTCTCCATTCCATAGGTTGTAAAAGACATAAATTATATGACCTCTATAAACTGTTCTTGACAGAAAATTGGCCTCCTGTGCCACTTAAGGGAGACCAATTTGACACCAAATTTATTTAAAATAATAAAAAGAGGAAGCAATGTACTGTGACCATCCATCCATCTTCCAAGAGCCTAACCACCCCCCCAAGAACAACAAGAAAACAGCTCTAAAGAGTTTCTCTTAGAGAGGGTGGATGTCTCCTTAGCCCGTCAGCAGACTAACCCTGAATAATAGGTTGATAGAAAAGGCAATCAGCTTTATTCATTGGCTGATGTTCTTTGAGTGTCTTGCATATTTTCTTTGCCATCTCATCGAACTGATGATAAATGCACATTCATGAGAAAAATCTATCACAAAAGAGAACAAATGCAAGATCACCACCGAGTTTTAAATAAAAACCGAGTGAAACCAAAAGAGTGAGTCAACTAATTCCGTAAATAAGCTAGAACAGATTTCCATAAAAATAGCCTCAGATAAAACCCAGCATTACCTTTTTCCTATTAGAACAGATGAACTTTGATTTTGTGCTTTCATGGAACTAAAGAATGTGTCCATGAGGTACTCACTAACCAGACTCAGAATCTCACCATGCTTCATCCATAATTTTATAGAACCTTCCTAGGACTGCATTTCACAAAATATAAGAACCAGCTATTTGAACACTATTTTGGTAAAATCTCCATAATTCCATTCCAACTCATGCTCATAAAAATCCCACCTACATTATAGCCCACACCCATTGTATCGTAGCCCCCTTAAGAAGCAGATCTCTCATTCCTAAATGACTCTAACATATATTAATTCATTTCACACCCCACTATGACAATGGCATCACATTCCAAGACCTCGAATCCCGTTCTCGAGAAACTTAATTTTGCTTTTCATCTTTCTTCCCTGAACTCCCCTAAGCTTTCACTGCCAAGTTCTTCTGAAGGTAGTCCAAGCGTTATCAGCATTGAAGAGACCAAAAGAGTGAATGATGATGCCCTGATGAGATGTAATCACCAATCAAAAGTGTTACCAGGAATTTTGCATCTTCGTGCTACAACATGCATAGATAACAACTACAAGATTTTAGAAACTCATAGCTTGTTACCATCTTATGTCTTTCATGGATTATTTGGCCATGAGGAGCATTTTATGTGATGATAAAAATATATATCAATAATCACAATGAAAATGGAGACAGCATTGGCCATAAAATGAAGGCTGGGCATGCAACATTGAAGAATTCAAGTATGAAGCAGGGCAGTCTTCACCATACCTGGCGCCTTTCCTCTGGTAATTCTGCTTTTTCTGTCCAAGATATGGCAAGATCAATATCATTTAATGACATCCCAAGTAGACTGATGGCATAAACACCTACAATATCTAAATATTTTTCTGTGCTGAGAATAGGCCATCTCATGCTTGTTGGGTTTTTCACCCCATTTAGACAAACAAAAGCATGCCCCTCCACATACTTCCACTTTCCAATAAACTCTTCAAAAGTTGCCTTAAGTTTGGATGAGAATCCTTCTGCTATCTGCATACAAGCCCTGACAAATGAGGAGAGTCAGCGTCAGTCTCTCCTTTTAGATAGGAAATAGATATGTCATTCAGATAGAAAATATCAAAGTTACTTTTTGATTCAATTGTTTGTAACAACAGACATCAGTATCACATAAAGAACATTATGAACTACCCTCATAATGATCAAATGGAAGATACATATATGTACGTATGCATGTACGGTTGTGTAAACGAGTGATACAGATAATCAAAAATCATAAGCTTTTCGACCAACTTCTTTAAATTCCAATAGACGTCTCATCATAACTCTAGGATCCAAGTCAGTCATTGACAAATCCCAGAGTAAAACATGAATTCGTGAAACATAAAAATTAAGGCATAGTTTAGTCTATCTAGCATTTCACAATAGCAGAAGGATAGATCAAATACCCAGTAAGAAAAACCTGACCAGGAACCGCAGCTACTGTACCAAACAAAAATTTAAGCTCAGGTATAAGTTCTGATGTCCTGCATAGTTCAAAAAAAAAAAAAAAAAATTCAGGAGATAAAGGATAGTAAAGGAAGATAAGCAAAGCATTATTAAGCACAGCAAACCACTGATTCTCACATGAATTAAACTCTCAGTTAGATTACCGTGATACAGAAATTATAGTTGGCGTACTAAACTTAACCTAGATATATAACCCAAGAAGAAATTTTAAGAAAAAAAAATCCAATGACCTAACAATTCCCAATGATCTATTCCTTCATTCGTGTGAATTGACATTTTTCACGTTTTTAGTAGCAGCTTTCTTCAGCTTCTGTGCAATGGGATCTTCTTATCAACCCCAGTCGAAGATGTAAACTGCCAGAGTCTTTTAGTGTACAGAAATTCCTTAGTCCTGTTGCTTTGAGGAATCTGAAACACAATTCAGTTCCATATAGATGTGACAAAACTGTTGGAAGAAATCTACCCTAAGAGTTGTCATGTTCAAAATACAAACAAAGTTCAGTTCAACATAGAAGGCGCCGTCACTTGAAATTCAGGACTGGGAAACATAAATTCGGGACGACATTGGCCTATTACATCCCAACTTGTCTTTTTTATCAACAGAAATAAAATGATGGCGACTCCTAAAAGTACACACAGGGATCAAAAAAATTGTGTCATGAGCCATCTTTGAAGGATGCTGCAGGTTTTTTTCACTCAATTGGTTTAGCAGATGATAAAATTTTTAAGCAATATCAAACCACAAGATGTAAACACAAATAAGGAAGTTCAAGACTAGCTATCCTAAGAAGCACCAACGCTATTGATAGTCATAATATTTGAATAAGACGAAGCACGAAAAACTGAAGAAGACTTGAAAAAAATTTGAAAAGGAAGTCGTATAGAGAAATTAAAGTTCTAGACACCTTCCCAATTCCTTCAGCGACTGAACAAATACCATGCCAGCAGATTCCATGATGTCAACTAGTTCAGCGTCTTCAATTAACGCAGTCGAATCACTGTTGCATATTCCCTGGATGATAGAACGGGACAGAGACGATGCTGCCTCGAACATACAGCAGACTAGGTACCTGCAAACAATCCAAGGTAAGAAAAAGGATATAAATTCCCTGGTCGCATATTCACAACCATCTGTCCCTCTCCTAAAGGAGCTCTTTGGATACTGAATTTCGAAATCCCGCGGAAGATGGATTAGAAATTTCTTCCGCAGCATACAAACAAACGAGAAGGCAGAAGGGGGAAAAGTCTTCGCAAAAACAAGAGGCAAGCCATTGAAACACCGAACCTTTCAGCGAGGTCTATTTCTTCCCAGATCGCGGCGGAGCTGCAGGGGACGCCGCCATCCATCGCCCCCCTCCTCGGCTCTGCCTCGCGCGAGCTCATCACCTCCCTGTGGACTCCGCCCCGCGCCGGCCTTCTTCACCAACAGAGCAAAAGTCGACGAAAAAGAGCAACTAGGACCGACCTCCAAGCGAACTTCTCCGGAGAGGTGAGTTAATGGGCCGATCTGGTCATCACAAAAAGCGCGGCCCAACTCAGTGTTGTGGGAATGAAAGAATAATCACAAGATGAGTTCTGCTTCCGAAGAGTCTTCTTAGCTAAATAATTAAAAATATTTTTATATTTTATGGCTCTGATATTTTGGAGACTTATGGTTCTTGTTGAGTTTCAGAATTTTTTTTGTTGATTTTTTAAATTACCAAAAGCAAATAAAAGTAATATATTTATTTTTTATTATAAATGGTGCATCATGTCATAAATAATGTTTAAATATATGAAAATTAGATAATGTCTCAACATATGATGAGTTACATTGGAAGATATGACATTATATCAATATTACTCTGCTGTCATCTCATGATTATTTTCAGAAAACAATAGAGCATATGAAGAGTTGTCACAAAGCACCTAGAGTATATCATGGTATGTTATTCAAATATATGAAAATTACGTAATATGCCCATTTATGATGAGTCACATTGGAAAATAGCATGGTCTATAATCTCATGATGATTTTTGCCAAAAAATAGACTATATGAAGTGTAAAATGCTAATATATGATGAGTCATCATAAAGTACATCAAGTTCAATTACTCTATATATCACAACCATGTTGCACAGCACAATTATTGAATAAACTTATATATTTTTCTTAATGTTTAATTTATGTGAGAATTATTTTTTTTTAATAACATGATATAAGAAGCCAAATATCTTAATACATGGTAATTATATACACACATGCATGCATGTTTGAGCCATGCAGTAATCTTAAACATGTTCTAGAAGATGTTGGTTGAAGAATTGTATCCATCTAAAAATTACAAAGGAAGGCTGCAACGAATCACAAGATGTATATTTGATGAAGCCTTTTCTAGAGGTAACATGAGAAACAATCTTGATGATGGCTAAAGAATAACCATACACCTGTTAGTGTCTTCAAGCCCATTTGGCTACTATTTGAATAATTCCATTTACTTAAAAATATAATATAAACTTGTCATCAGCCAAAGGAGGTGAGCTTTGTCTCTATTTTTAGTTGGGGGTGAGCTCCTTCACAAGGCCACATATTATTATTATTAGAATCTACTCCATGGTAAGATAGGCCAAGTAAGTCAACTATTGAAAAAGTCAACTCTTCATATATATTATTACTAGCAATCTTGCTCATCTCACTTTTATTCTTCTAGGAGACTCTCCATTGGGTCTTTTGCTCCCAAATAGGCTACGTGGCATAATGGAGGAAGGGGGGCTTATTCATAATTTTTGCACTTTATGGCTCATTAGGTCACCTCACTTGTCACATCCAATAGAAACAAACTCTCTTCTATAGTGGTTTGACTTCTTTCACCTACATCCACTTACTAAGAGTTCCTACCCTTGGTTTCCACTATTATCTCTTACAAAGTACTTGTTGAAGGATCTCAAGAGTTACCATTCAAATCTACTTCATTTGATATCAGTTTGGTCAAAAGTTTGTCAAGTTGACTCACAGAATAATATGTCATTTAGTGTGAACTTTTATTTATAAATATTTAATTTTCTTTGACCCTTTGATTAATTAATGTTGCCAAGTGTGTTTATAGATGATCAGTGATACTCTAACACTTGAAGTAATTTTTAGAGAAAAATATTTCTTTTTAAGAGAAAACCCTTTCTTGAGTTTGACTTAGTAACATGTTGATTTGACTCAATCATCCTTTTCTGTGTGACTTTCTCCTTTAAATACTTAATTCATTTTTCTACATTTGGACCATGACTCTTTTTATAGCTTTATATTTGAAAACCACAATCAAACACCAAATTTATTAGATCTAATAGCTTAGCTCCCCATCCAATCATTATCATAATAAGAGGATATTTAATATTTATGATTAATTTTATTTTTTCAATATGAAAGTATTTAAAGCCATAGGGTAGGTTACCAGATTCTATAAAGAATAAATGCTAAATAATATTTACACATTGGCTCGCATGTTCTCTATGGTCGTAGACTCTATATGGCCCATTTTATCCTCATATTTTACATATTTTATCATGTTTCTCCAATTATGTGCTTCTTCACACAAAGTCAACTGGCTACCTTAGGTCAACTCCTTGTTTCTTGGCTTGTGAGGGACTAAAGTTTTTCTAGTGTTGGTTTAGAGCGTCTATCATTATTTTAGTATTATGATGACATAAAATGACCTTGTTATTATTAAATATTTTTTTTTGTCCATAATGTGATTAATATATGATGATATAAAATGACCTTATTATTATCAAATTTATCGTTTTTACTCCATAATGTGATTATCTATAAAGTAAACATGAGAGAGAGGAGAAAAATGAGGAAGATATTAGAGTGTTTGAAGAAAAAAAGGATAATTCCCCTTGTTTTGGTCATGTGAAATATTAAGTTACCATACTAATTATTTCATTTATTTATAAATTAATTTAATTTAGGCATTAATTTTGATTCTAATGGACGTATAATTTGTGGCCTAATTTATATATAGCAAGTCGCTAATTAATTCTATCAATCTACGTACTAGCTGTTTAAAAGGTAAATAATAGAAACATGTGCGGAGTTCGAAGGAGTCTCTGGCCTGTCGCACGTGTCCCTCCGTGCGATTTAGTAGGCACCTGTCTATTTTAAATTTTAACCGCCAAAATCAATTATTCTATGTCCACGTAGACCGGCACGATACGCGTGGATCCTACATCGTGCGACAGCTATCAGCGGAGTGTGCACACCTCTCGCTGATCTGCTCCTCCCCTCACATCCCTCCCATTGGCTTTCCTTCCACTCTCTCACTCTCTCTCTCCGGCGGAGGTGCGGGGGGGAGAGGACAGGCGCGGAGGCGATGGCGGCGGCGCCCGTACTGGTCGCCGGCTGCGCCACCCTGCGGCTGCACCGCAATCTTTGTCTCCGGCGAGGGAAGTTGGCGGAGCGGAGCGGCTTGGTGGTGGCCGTTTGGGGCCCCCAGGCCGTCGTCCTGGTGCGGACGGTGGCGTTTACGGCCGTCCTTCTGGCCTTCTTCGTACAGGAAGGAGCCGAAGATCGTGCTCCGGGGGACTGCCTTGATCGTCGATCTTCCTCTCGTTCTTCTTGGAGACAGCCGGAGTGCCACCCTGCTCTCGCCGGAAGCCTTGCGCTCCCTCTGCACGCGTTTGATCGGTTAGCGCTCGTACAACTCCTACTACTGCTACTCTCTCTCTCTCTGTCTCTCTCTCTCTCTCTTTCTCTCTCTCTCTCTCTCTCTTTCTCTCTCTCTCTCTCTCCAGCTCTCTATCTCTCTCTATCTCTATCGTTCTCGCTAGCTCTCTACCTCCCTAGCTCTCTCTCTAGCTCTCTCCCTTCCTGGCTCTCTCTCTCTCTCGATCTATAAATATATATATTTATATAAGGCTGCTTGAATCAATGTATCTTTATTAACGTGGATTACTCAATCCAGTCAACGGCATACAAATAGGCACGAACATTGTAGACTATTTATTTATTGTCTCTGAGGTGTAACTGTCACGTTTTACTTCCGCAGTATTCCTAAGGCTTCAGTTCATCTTAGATTTTTGCTTCATCCTCATCTGTATGGTGTGTCAGTGTCCAGTTGCCAGCCTGACGGCCGTTCAGAGACAGAGAGAATTGAATGCCTTGGGATTTGGATTTATAAATCCTGGGCCAGAGCTTGAAAAATATGCTCTATTTTTCCGTTTTCTTACTGATTGCAGCAAGGGGACAGCCTTACGAAGCTGCAACAGCAAAAAAAATGCTGTTTTTTGGCCACTAAAGAATGTTTCTCTGCTCAGGGAAGGGATATCACTGAGAGAAATTATGGGCTGCTTCTCATGTTGTGAAGACAATTTCATTGAAGCACCTGATATTGGAGGACATTTTACAACCAGACGTACAGCAGGTGATCTAATATCTTGCCTTCCATGTTTAACACTGCAAAATTCTTATACTTTTCCGTTTATTTTAAGTGTTTGTATATTCACCTGCTCGTGATGTTGTGGGCGGGGACGTCCTTTATGGTTTGACAGCTTAGATGGAAGTACTCACCATGAAGCTGTCACATAGATATTTGGAAAACTTTATATGATTTCTTATTAGGGATGATGTGGATCAATATCGTATAATCTGAGTATTATGGAGTTCGTTGCATAAAGCCTTTTGCTTTATGAGAGTCTTGCTGTTACTGGGTTTTGTGGATGTTGCTCATTGCTTTAGTCGTTTGCATACTGCCTCCTGCCTCCGCCAACCACCGTACACATTTCACACCTCTTCATGCCTCCCTCATTCCTCCTGCCACCCCCCTACTTGCTATCATTGAAGCCAGTAGGAATGGGATCAGGGATTGGGAACGTTTAAAGGATAAAACACAAAAGTCTGGAGTTTTCTCCTCTTTATCTCCTTAAATCTAACATTCAGAAATGTATCTTTAACATTTATACATTTATACTTTTTTTAATTAAAAATAGCCTATATGGGTTTCTATAGAAGTAAACATATTGTAATAAAGTAATCATAGTCCATTTGTTTTGTGTTTGATGGCCTGATAACTCTAACACGATATCATTGCTGATGCCTGCTCTTGAGATGACTGTATTTCATTTATACTATTCTTATCACAGAGCTCAAAAGTCAGCTTTCTTGTGAGGGGGTGTAGTAAGAACAGTCCCATACTGGTTGGCCAATTTGGTTTTGACTAGGACGGCGCAATAACTCTTAACAGTTTTGAACTTATTAAGAATACGAATCCAACTTGTTCGGGTCCCTTGGGTCAGACATGTTTTGGGTATACCATGTCAGAACTTTAGTCCGATCCAGTAAACCTGTAATTCTAGCTACAGTTTGCCTGTTCAGAGAACTCAGAAGAACAAGGTTGGAATCTCCTTTCTAGAAGGAGACACAGAATAACGAACTTGCTGGATTTTTCAAAATATAGTTCTTAAGTAGAATCTGGATCCAGGGTAATAGGAAAGACAAAGAATATGGAAGTAGAAATTTATTGAGGTAGGGGCAGAGCATGGTGGAAGGTCAAATGATTGACAAAAGTTATCCCGACAAAGATAAGAGCTTATTGCTGGGCTAATAATATCAGCAATTCGCTACCAGATTTTGTCGTCTGTAGCACTTTGGAGGTCAGCTAAGCCAACTGCAACTCGACCATCAAACCCATCAGGCTACAAGCCAGTCAATTTGATGAAACTGCAAACGGCATAGTCTAAAAAATCTTGAATAAGATGAACAACCAAGAAACGCGTGCAAAGGGAGTGAAGCCAGAATTCGTTCATTTTAGCTCGGAGGACAAAAAGAAGGGATTGAGCCAAAAATTCCACTACCTCTTCAGTGCCTCTGCATTGGAAGCAAAGGAGAATATACTCCTCGACGAGATTTTTAGTGAATAAAGGTACGTTCTGAGAAGTTGTTTTTAATCATCGTTCAGAGCTCCCTATCTATTTCCCCTTGTACTGATTCAGTTGTTTTTCTATTTTCAATCTGATTATATTCATCTTTATTTCCTGTCTCGGATGTTTCTTCTTGGCAGCTCTTTGTTGACTTATTATGACCAGTGTGTTCTATTTTTGGACTCTTTTCAAATCTTCTGCTCAGGGGACGAAGCGAGTTATCATGCTACAGATCCTGCTCCGAGGGCTTCTCAGGCTGTACAGATTCAGCCCATTGCAGTCCCTTTAATTCCTGTTGATGAGCTGAAAGAAGTAACAGACAACTTTGGAACTAAGGCACAAATAGGAGAGGGTTCTTACGGGCGAGTGTACCATGGTGTGTTGAAGAACGGGAAAGCTTCCGCCATTAAATGGTTGGATGCCAGCAAGCAGCCAGACCAAGAGTTTCTGACGCAGGTCAGGCATTTCTCACCATTTCGCATCATTTCCATCTCCTTTATACTATTGTTTAAAATCTTTAATGGTGCAGGTGTCCATCGTTTCTAGGTTAAAACACGAGAACGTGGTTGAGTTGCTTGGCTATTGCACTGATGGACGTCTACGTGTTCTTGCTTATGAGTATGCCACAATGGGATCCCTTCATGATATCCTTCACGGTAATGGCATTACTACCCTCAAATCGATTTCCATGACTCACGTCAGATCAAGATCAAGATCAGGAAATGTGAAACTTTCATAAACTCCCATGGTTTTATTTATTGGGCAGATTTTTAGCATATATTACTATGCATGAAGTGGGCGTTTGTAGACACTATCTCTAGCCTGCTGGGGACTGTAATGTTTACCTGCCAGGAACGATCTAACCTAACCCAGTGTGTGCCAGCTGAGATGCCCCTCAGCTCCTCCATGGAGTCACTTCAGTTCTTTGGATGACATATGCATAGATGTGTGTGTGTGTGTATATATATCGATTGATATATGTATGACGTGGATTATGAACAGAGTTATATCGTTATTCATATAAGTTTCAGGGCATTATAAAAAATGGACTGATATGCCATAATCAGTCCCTTGCATCCCCAATAACTTTCCTTGTTTAACAACAGGTCGAAAGGGTGTGAAGGGTGCACAGCCAGGCCCAGTGCTTTCATGGCAACAGCGGGTGAAAATCGCTCTGGGCGCCGCAAGAGGGATCGAGTACTTGCATGAGAGGGTCCAGCCTCACATCATCCATCGGAACATCAAATCCTGCAATGTGCTCGTCTTCAGAGACAATGTGGCGAAGATCTCAGACTTTGATCTCTCGAATCGGGTCCCTGACACAGCAGCGCGTCTTCACTCCACCCGTGTTCTTGGAACATTCGGTTACCACGCCCCAGAGTGAGTTCCTTCTCCTTTGGAACTAATGGATTAATTAAGGCTGCAAGCATTGTGGATGATAACCATGGGATTCATCAAAAAATATGAATCATGTATTTCCGGAGATTTTACTATGAATGTGTTGGGAATTCTCGCTTAGCATCTATTTTAAATTGGTTTTTTTTCTCTAATTTACCTTTGACCAGTGAGGCATTTTTCGGATATTTCAATTATCATAGCGGAAATTATTCGTAAATGGCTGTTTTCCAAATTATGCCAGATCAATAACTGACGCCCCCTCCCCTTCCCCATTTAGCTGTAATAAAATGATTCACCGGCTAGTTACTATATTTCATTTTGCCTATTTGAATAAATACCTCGGAAATATTTCCTTTCCTTTTTTTTTTCTTTGGTGTTTCAAATCAACGAGTGGTGACCCATTTAGCTTTAATAGAATGATTCTGCGGCTTGTGATAGATCAGGCAATGACGGTTTTTTTTTTTTTTCAGATTTCAATAAATACCTAGGAAACTTTTCCGTTCCCTCGTTTTTTCATATTTTAGCTAAAAGTAAGCAATTTTTTTTGCGGTTATGTCGCTAAATACTTTGGAAATTTTCCCTTTTGCTTGTTTATTTTAATTGGTATTTCGAATTAACAACGGAGGACACATTTGACTTCAACGAAATTACACGGGGAATCATAAAAGGAAACTATGCATTTTTTTGGAGAATACATTGAAAATGTAGGGAGCAAATCCTGATTTGGTATTTTCTAGATGATTTCATATCAGTGCCTGATGGCCAGTTTAGCTTTGATCAATCCGGACCGTCGCTTTCTCTATCTCAGTCATTTACAGTTTGGATGGCTTCCACCTACCTGGCAGATATGCGCTGACTGGGCAGCTCAACTCTAAGAGCGACGTGTACAGCTTTGGTGTCGTTCTCTTGGAGCTCCTAACCGGACGTAAGCCAGTGGATCACACATTGCCACGTGGACAACAGGGCCTGGTGACATGGGTATAAACCCTACCCTTCATTTTCTGACTCTAGAAATACTCCTCCCGGAAGCTCCCAGAAAATTTCACTAACTCCAGATCCGCAGGCGACCCCGAGACTCAGTGAGGACAAGGTGGGGCAGTGCGTTGACCCAAGACTTGAAGGAGAATACCCCCCCAAGGCAGTCGCAAAGGTAAAATTACGCACCAACTATAACATAGATATATTAATTATTTTCTCTTGATACCCAAATATAGGCTAATTGTTTTGATACATTTTACTTGCCATATTTTACATTAATTAGTATCCAAAATTTTAGTAGGTGGAGTTAATTTAGATATACATTAAAAAAAAAAAAACTTGATTTGTAGAAAATATTCAGACTATTTTCGAAATGTGTTGATTTCTAGGAGCATTCTTAGCCCCCTGTGAGCGAAGGGGGGAATCCGGCAGAGTCTACCCTGAGAATGGTGCTGATTTATGTTTTTCTCTCGCAGATGGCCGCGGTGGCGGCGCTGTGCTTGCAGTATGAGGTTGACTTCCGGCCGAAGATGAGCATCGTGGTCAAAGCCCTACAGCCGCTGCTGAATCCGAGGTCCACCCACCCTGGGCAGGCCCAAGAGCTGTGAGTCCTACAAGATCCTTTTGTTTTTGTTGGCCCTCTCCTCGTCTCTCTTCCCGTGATCTGAGAAGTTGACCTCGGCAGTTCGAAGTCTACGGCTTGAAATGTGATTTCCTGATAAAGTAGCAGCTCGTTTTGGGCCCAATTTTAGGCCCCCCGGCTGGAAGGCCCGGGCTAGGCCAGGATCTCCGGGCTCTCACCCGGCCCGGCCCGGCCCAAAAAGGCTTCCTTCTGTAGCCTTCTCTCTCCCATCAAACCAAATCAAGGACAGGCTTCCTTTCCTCCCTGGTGAGATCAGACTCTATATATCTGGCAAACCCTTGGAAAACATTTATAAAAAGAAATCCAACCTGTACAGAGCACAATCAGTCCCCCACCTGTGTGAGGCAGGCAGGTTCAGCAGTGGAGCCAGTGGGCGGCGACGGAGCTGGTGCAGCAGCCGGGGCACAAAGAATGTTAAGCGAATTAGGCAGGCAGCTCTGGCGGCGGAGGCTCATCACTTGTCCTTGTCAGTGGCATCGGAGTAGTCACTCTTGTCCGTGTCAGAGTTCTTACTCTGAGATTGAGTTTCGATCTCCATGCTCCCACCCCGGCGACGACGCCGGCTTCTTCGATCCTGAGGAATTCTTGCCAGTCTTAGTCAAAACTCCACCACACAGACTCAACGGAGCAGACGGCGGACACCCTTCACAAAGCTAAATGAGGTACTACCGGGCTAAGCCTCTTCTGGAATGGGGCACGACACAACACAACACATCAGAGAGGACATATGACCAGGTGAGGAGAAGACCCCTTGTGTAGAGAGAGAGAGAGAGAGAGAGAGAGAGAGAGAGAGAGAGAGTCTAGTTCTTTGAAGGATGGAGAAAAACAAATGTGCAGAGGTACTGGACGGTGAATTTGTCAGTTCGGCTACCTTACAGTGGAATCGCGAGGAGAAGGAAGGAATGCGAGAGAAAGATCAGGAGACAAACCTCACGAACGATGGGATCATCAGACTCCAGCATCCGGACAACTTGGCCCATTTTTGGTCTCTTCTCTGAATCCGGGTCCACACATCTCAATGCTGCCAGAAGTGCTCGTTTGAGAGCTCTAGTGGACGGGAGTGCCTCAATGGTCGGGTCAACTACTTCCTCAGCGCGCCTGCTCCCAACCATCATCTTCAGCCACTCGATCAGATTTACCTGTCAGCAATGGCAGATCACAATACCAACCCAAATATTATTTTAGTAAATAAAACCCAAGTCTTGGAGTTGCGCAACAAAGCCACCAAGAGCATGTGACTCTTTCCAGCAAAAGGGGTCCTGAAATCCTGACACTGGAGGGATAAAAACTCCAAGAGCTCTAGAAAAACGCATCAAATTCTGTCCATCTAATAGAAAACTATCTCGTCGTTATACATAAAATAATTCTCAGTCTAAATAAATTCCTCTTATGCAGGGAATTGTTGTGACAGAGACAGCAAAGGCACGGAAACCAGGGCAAATGCTTTCGCATTCTACACTTCCAGCAAAAGAGCCGACAAATCCATGGGGCTGCAACTCATAAGCCATAATATCATCTAGCACGGGTGATCAATAGGCTAAGGTGCTTAGGGATATTAAAGAGATGTTATCGAAGAATTTAACGTCTTGGATGTCCAGAATGTGTACCATCTTGCTCCTAAGATTCTAAGTCCATCCAACTTTCAAACTACAGAGAATTTCACTATCGAGCTCGGAATGCGTCAGCCTGACAACATGGTGTAAAGAGGAACTGGTCATAGGCCAATTAGTGCCATGAAAGAGGAGCTTTACAAGAGCTTCCCAGGAGTTATTCAGATTATGGGACCAAAAGAATCCGATGTACCACAAGGACAACCGATGAGAACAGAAGATGAAATATTGTACGAAAGACGAGTTACGAGCATGACCAATGGCCCCAGCTTCAACGCTCAGTAGGTCACAGCTCTTACTACCACAGCATGCTAAGAACGAAAGGCCGTGGGAGGTACATCTACTGCTAATCAAAAAAAACTAGCATTGAGAAGATCGTATAGATTCAACTTTTCTCCAACCACAGGATTCTATGAATTCCAGAATAGCAATGTCACAAAAAGCCCCTGAAATTCAAAAAATTGGTTTTTTTGTCGCACAGTATTTATTCATCGCAGGTTATATTCGTAAGGATCCATGTAAATTTGGATTGGTTTTAATACTTTCCTGATCCATGAATCCAACAAAAAGAGCATAGGATGAAATTCCAAACCTCATTGACTGGGCGACCATAATCGACAGGGTCCCTGCCGGTAATTGTTTCTAATAGAACCACTCCAAAGCTGTAGACATCACTCTTTTCATTAAGAAGACCAGTATTTGCATACTCTGGAGCAACATAGCTGCAATGGACAATAGAAAAAGATAATAGCCCATACTACCATCATAATTCTGTTGACATGTAACAGTTGTATAAGAAAAACCAGCATTACGGAACCCAATGAAAGAAAAAATCAGGGAAAAAGAGACTAACCCAAAGGTTCCCATTACTCGGGTCGTGATGTGACTCTTTCCAGCACCCAAAAGCTTGGCAAGACCAAAATCAGATACCTTTGCATTAAAATCGTCATCAATCAATATATTACTGGATTTGATGTCCCGATGAACAACTTTGGGCTCAATAGCCTCATGTAGGTATGAAAGACTGCACAAAAGACATCAAAATTTTCAACAGAATCAATGGTTAGCAAATCAGAGTTCAGTACCCTCGGCAAAAGATAAACACATGATCCGGGTTAAATGTTCTTCAGTTTGCATCTTGGGTAGTTCACTAGTACCAATATGCTAGGGTCTGGACTTACGCTTTGGCTGTACCGAGGAGAATCTTAATCCTTGCTTCCCAAGTCAAAGAACCCCGCTGCCGCAGTGCTCCATGAAGCCACTGCTCTAAATTTCCATTGTTAACATGCTCATATACCAGCATCCTGAGTTAACCAAAAGCTAGTTTACATCAAAATTTTAACAACTGTGATACTCTTCATCAAGAAAAGTGGAAGCTTTTAGCTATTATCACCATCTTTGGCACAACCAATCAAAGTATAAGGATGCCAGATACGTTTAACATAGAGATAGTATTCATACATTGCTGCACATATTACAACGGCAACGCATCATAGCAGGAACAAGAGGATGGTAGCAAAAAAGTAAAAAAGCAAAGTAAATCCACAAGGGGAAAATAACATTAGAGGAAGTATGCACCTTTGAGTGCCTTCCACGCAGTATCCAAGGAGACGTACTAAGTTTTTATGGCGAACATGCCCAATGGCCTCAACCTCAACCCTGAATTCCTTCTCAGCTTGACCTCTAGAAAAATAGCAAATTCCCAGTGTTAACAAAAATTAGAAGTTTCATAGAACAATAACAAGCATGCGTCAAGTTAAGTGATAAAAACTCACAAGTTGTTAAGGAGCTTCTTGATAGCGACTGGAGTTCCATTGATTAAGCGTCCACAGTAGACAACACCATATCCACCTTCTCCTAGAATATTATCCTTTGAGAAACGATTGGTTGCCACTTCCAAGTCCCTTAATGTAAACCAGTGACCCCAACCCAAGTAAGAGAGTTCAGGAAGACCGGTCAAAGGTGAAGGAGCAGTAATGGGGTACGAAGATGATTGTCCCTGCACAGTAAAGGCCCCAGAGCTCCCTTCTCCACCAGACTGGGAACTATAGTCTTTCTCGGTATGGCGAAATGAACTCGAACGGCTGTTACTTTCTCCACGTCTTACTTTACTAAGTCCCAAATGAACCATGACCTTATCTGATTGCCTCTCCGCTGACTTGCCATGAATGGTAAGAAGAATCCCATTACCAGCTACAAAGTCATTCGCAGATACTTGCTCAACCCTCACTTCCTTTATTTCCTTCGACACTGTGGGGATTTCCGTAATGGGGAGATTATCTGAAGCCCTCCTCGACCTCTTCTTACTCTTAAGAGAAACAGTTATGGCTAGAACTGAAAGAAAGACCACAATAAATAGTCCAACACCAAGTCCAATCACAACCCACAGCCTAAGACCGAAGAGAAATGTCTTTTCAGATAAGTGCGAATTTAGCGAGCTTCCAGAGTCGGACATGGTTGCCTTTTGGATAGCCGGATATCCTAAAAAGATAAATCAGCATGAAAAATGACGTGAATAGGCTACTTAAAAAGAAAAAATAACCAAAGCAGAACATCCCTGTAAACTATATTCAAGAAACTCGGGATAGGCAAACGAACATATCATCGATATAAATCCAACAAACAATGACATCTGCATCAAAAAATGACATCATTGAACAAGAAAACACGTATCATTTATGTACAGATGTCAGATCAGGTTGATATTCACAGAGCTACATAATGTGAGGAGAGCCCATTGTTTCCACGCGATAGACACAACGCAGAAACGGAAGGTCGTCAACGGTAATTTTTAATGGTGTAATGGCACTAAATTTTACTATGTCGTCAAATCTTATTCCCAAATGGGAACAGAAACAAACCAGCCATGAAAAGTTGACGAGGGTAAGTTCCAACGTTGTCAGGATACAGTGAGTCCCGTTGTCATTCGAATAGAAACAAGAAAAGACAAGGAAAGAGAGGGGCCCTTTCACCTAAGGAAAACCAGATTGAAGCAAAATTAATCAAATAGCAGGAGTCTAAATACTGTAGCATGCAATAAGGAAAAACACTTGATCTGTTCGTCTCGATATTCCATCGGTAGAAAACCAAACACCTGAGTAGGATGAACCATGAGTCGATGAGTGAAGAACATAGAACACATTCAATTCCGATCTATTAGCAAGTACGACACAACTGAGATCCTTAAATACAAAAGTAGGAGAAATACTACGACTCACAGGAGTAACCAAAACAATTCGGCGGGCAAAACTCCCCTGACCATTAGATCAGGAAAATTTTCATCCAAAAAATCGATGAAACGGACAACGCTCGCAAGTATTCTTCTTCGTACCTTTTAAGTCCAGATCCTGAGAGCAGAAGCTTCTCCCCCACGTCAAATCCACATTACCCCCGGCGGGAATTCATTAACTCCCCAGGGTCTCTATGAGACAACTAAGACCAACAAAGCCGCACCAGGTCCTCGCGGGAACAGATCTCGAAGTGGCTACCAGCCACGAGGACCACCGAAACGAGGCTCGGATCTGCGCAGTCGACGAAATCTCTGGCACACGCTCTCCCCAGCCACCACCACCACCAATGGAGCAGATGCAGCGGCGGCGGCGGCACTGGCAGCAGAAGCTCCTCCTCTCCCGAAGCCCAAATCACCGGCCGAGACGCCTGCCTTGAATTTGTAATTGCATAGGAGGGAGGGGGAAGGAAGGAGACGACGATGGTGGACGAGGTGGAGTTATCAGCGGTTGGTGATGAGAGAGAGACTGAGTGATCCGCTCAGACAAGGAGAGAGAGAGAGAGAGAATCGTCCGTCTCCTTACTGCTGCTGAGCTTCATGCATGTGGGTCGGGGAGCAGTAAAAGCAAAGCCTTTATTATATATTAAATGAATATAAAATAAATACTTTTACATATATGTTCAATTAAAAATTTTAATGTACAAAAAACCTGATAGTTTTACAGTTTTATATTTCAGTCCAAAATAATAGTGGCCAATAAATAAATTGGACAGTATTTGAACTATTTAAGTTTTCTCGGGTGTATATATGAAAATATTTTGTAATCCTTTTTCCTGGTTTTATCTTTAAATTATTTTATTTTAACAGTAATATCTTATGTTCCATTTTGATAGGGTTCTAAAGGCAAATATTTTGATAGGGTTACCGCCAAAAGAGCAGGAGATAAGTGCATCACGTGACTCTGCGATCGGGCAAGGTGGCCCAGAAAGCAGGTAAACTGAAGAGGTAATCTCCTCTGGCGGTGACCCGATATAGTCCTGATCCTGCTCATTCGACCGCCAGCAGGTAAACAAAGGGCCCCACACCCAAGCCAGGCCTCCGCATCACCGTCCGATTTCATTTTGGCCGATTAGATCTGACGATTCAGGCGGCCCGCGGGGAGTTCGTTGTTGGCATCTACAGTCTGAACGTGAAATCCGAGCTGGAATTATCCGGCGAATCGGGGAGTACCAATTTCCTTTGGATAACGCTGACGTCAGTCACACGTTATTCGTCAACCCTCTTTCTCGAAGAAATTGTGTAACCAAACAATTATTTTACATATACTCTTTCTCCAAAAATGGGTTAAAAAACTAGGGAGGAGAGAGAGTGTGTGTGTGTCTGAGAGAGAGAGAGAGAGAGAGAGAATGGGCATATACTGTAGTTCGGAGCGCAGCAGTAAGGAGGTTGCGGACCTGCTTCCACGTCTAGCGGGCCTCTCCTTACTGCTGCCCTCCAAACTACATTACAGTCTATGCCCGTTCTCTCTCTCTCTCTCTCTCTCTCTCTCTCTCCTCTCTATCTCTTTGTGACGGAGGAGTCAAGGCCTAGAAAGATGGTGTCGGTGGCTTACGATGGCGACGGAAGAGACGTCGGCGTCAAGGCTGGTAGTTGCTGAGCGACCCGCGCTGGGCATCGGCGTAGCGGCAGCGAGAAGCGACGCCGGCTACGACCACGACAGCGGCAGGGCGACGGCGGCCACGGAGGGGCCGGACGGCGCGCTGGCGTTATTCTCGCAGCCGTTGTATCCTTGTTGTTGGTTTGCTGCTTGACAGATGTGGTCCGGGGAGTGTAGACTCTTCTAGCCCCACCCCTAGGGATGATAACCTCTCTTTATCTCTCCATCTCTCTCTCTCTCTCTCTCTCTCTCTCTCTCTCGCTCGCTCTTTCCCTCTTTCCTCCCCTAGTTCCCATTGGTCGACACAAAACATCACAGTCTAAGGAATTTCATGAAATTGCTATTCAATATGTTGACTCTCGTTAGGCAAGTTGCTATTAATAGACATGGTCAGGATTTTTTTGGAAGAGTTATACATTTTATTTTAATAGAAAATTAGTGGGCTAAATCGTCACCTTTTGGCAAAATAACTTGTGGGGAGTGACGAATAAAAGTCACAAAATTAATGGATAATTTCAATGCCGCCTTGAATGAAAATATGATCTTCAATACATCCCCTGGGTTGCTTGGAAATTGTTGTCACAAATGCCTAAAATAGAAAGCTTTTAAGAGGAACTCTACTAGTTAAATCATTAGATCACTAAGATTCTTGTCCAGTAAAAATTGTCAAGAAGAGCTAGCTAGCTTTCTATCAACAAGTTATTTTGCCAATTTTGTGTAGGAGAGAACTAGGATCCACCTCAACTATACAAAGTGGAGAATCTACGTCATTCAACATGGAAATCAAAATTGATATCAATTCACTTGGACATAATCTCAAGACTTCAAAATCTGAATTATAATTTTAATAAAATATTTAATACATTTATTAAATGTTTATTTATAATTATTTTATATTCATGATAACATTATTTAAAATAATTAAAATTAAAATAAATATATAAAAACATAAAGCCTAATCCAATCTATAAATATTCACCGATGATCCCTAATACACAATAGTGACTAGAGTCCTCGTCTTCCTCATGTTATTCTAGCACATTGAAAAAGTGGTGAGGATGAAAAAAACCATTTAATTTTGGTACGTTTTCACTACAAACCAATAGTGTACATACTTCTTATTATTTTAGGTTATATTTTAAACCCAATTGATATTTTAAAAAATTATATAAATATAGTTATCATGCTACCATTCTTAGACTAGATCATGAGGCAAATAAGGTCATCAAAAATATATCTCTACATACTGTATTATTAACATGCGACTATTGAGGGTAGGCTTAGTCTCCATAAAAAGAGTAATAACCAGCCAAATATATTATCTACAATGAATGAGATTCTTGTTAGTTTTAGTGAGACAATATTGAGAACTAAGAGGGGGATGAATTGGTATTGTTCTAATCTTTTATTTATTATTTAATTCTCACTTTGATCTCAACACCCACAAGATTATAGTGGTTTGGCCCATGACATACTCCACTCTCTAAATACAAGGTCCTTTAGTTTCATTGGCTCCATGTTCAAATATAATAAACATAAATGTTTCAACAAGCTTATGTTGCATACAAAGGCCTCAACAAGCCTAAGTTGAACATGATGACCCCAACAAGTCTCAACTAAACAGAAAGACTTTAGCTAATTTACATTGAACTCAGCAACCTCAACTTGTATTTGTTGAACATAATAGTCTTCATAAGCCTCTACTAAATGCAAGGGCTTTACCAACCCAATCCTACACTCAATAGCCTCAAAAAGCCTCCACTAGATGCAAAAGTCATATATAGCCCACACTAAACACAATCTCACCAAACCTCATTGAACACAAAGGCTTTATCTAGCCTATATTGATTTATTGGATCCAAAGAACAAGATAATTAGTTTAGAATATGTTTACTCTCTTTCTAGATTTACTGTGTAGCTTCCTTTGCATGAATTTGTTTTGCTTGAAGATTCAGAAACAACTTTTAGCAATAATTATTTCTATACTTTATGGCCCTAAATTTACATTTAAGTATGTGTGAACTTCTTGGTGTAGTATGGATGTTGTGGCTCTAACTCTTGTCAATCTCTAATGTGGGGTGAAGTTTCTTTTTTATATGCTCAATTATAATGGCTGCAAATCAAGATGTGTACTAACACATTAGTATTTGAATTTAAACTACATAAAATGTAAACGAAATTTATAAAAAGTAAATTATTTAAATTTCATTGTTCCATTTGTGTACTTTGTTTATCTTTCAATATTGAGTATACGATGCCCATACTTATGATAGAAAGTTAGGTCTTTAAATGTGGGTTTCAATTTATTCAAATGAATGATTTGAATACCTATGGATTATGATGTAACTGAAGGCAAAGAGAGAAGATTCTGCGATACTTCTTGAAAAATGGGTTGATTATTTAGGGCATTATGTCATGGGAACATGGTATAATATTCATATTGTCCTCTAATAGAAATCTAACTTAGAAAAAAAGAATTACTCTGATTTGATTCAATCCTCTTTCTCAACTGACCCATTTTATTCATTAGTGGTCTATTTAGATATTCATCAAGCATTAGATTTTTTCT